ATATGTGTGTGTGTGTATATGTATGGGTATATGTGTGTATATATATATATATATATGTATGTATATATATATATATATATATATATATATGTATAGGTATATATATATGTATGTGTGTATGTATGTATATGTAAGTATGTATGTATGTATGAATGTATACATGGGGCATATGTATGCGTGTATATGTATGTGAAAAGTGTGTGTATATGAATATAGATGAATATGTGTATGTGTGGATATGTGAATATATTTTTAGGTTTTTATATATATATATATATGTGTGTGTATGTATGTGCATGTGTATGTACACGTATGTCTGGGTGTGTGTGTGAGTACATGCCTAAGTGTATGTACCTACATGTATGTTTTTTTTTGTGTGTGTATTAGTATGTGTTTTTGAACATAGAAATATTTGGTCCTTATGAAATGAGACAATCGTTATATTCATCTTCATATATTTATATTTGATTCATAACCTGTAGTCTATACTAATTTTCCCAATTACAAAGCGGACCTTTAAGTAAACACAATTTTATTTTCCTTCGTCCCATCTCTCTCCCCCACCCTTTCTTTTTTTTTTTTTTTTTTTTTCCCTTCCTATCCGAATTGTCTGTGGTGTGTATATGTCACCACCTAAATGTATCTATGTATTAGACATCCGTCGACTTTCTTTCTCTCCTCTTTTAAATCCACCCCACCCACATCTCCAAAAAACTCTCTCTGTTAAGGTTTCATGTCACTCCTCCTCATACTTACACTTTCTCTAAATTCTGTTTTGATTTCCAGAGTTGTTTTTTCTGTTTTCATTTTGAATTTGTAGGTCTGATGATTTGGATCAGATTTCGATTCCAATGGAATAAATTATGACCATGGAATATTAGTGTTTAAGCCTTTTATTATATCTTACTCTGTCCTAGACATTTGAGTTCTACCTGGATCCTTCCTCTTGGAAAATTTTTTTCTGAAAATATACATGTATGGGAATTTTTAGATATATTTTTCATATGTATGTATATTTTCCACTAAATATATATATATATATATATATATATATATATATATATATATATATATATATATATATATATATACACACAAATATATATATATATATATATATATATATATATATATATATATAAACCTAAAGATATATATTTTTAGATACCAAGAATATATGGGAAAATTATATGTTAAAATGGAAAAGTTTTCTAGTAACACTTTGTCCTTGACGACTAGATCGAACTAAATCTGTTAGGTTGGCGTGATGACACATGCACATGAATGAAGAATGCTGGGAATGACTATCCAGAAGAGTTGCAGGAGATTCTGAAGTTATCTGGAGGTCATCACTGAAGTCACTGGTGATTTTATTGAAGAAATTTACTCTTTAATATTTCATATTTTTGTGTAATTTTGGTAAATATGTGTTAAAATGAGATGTCAGTGTTATTTTTTTTTTGCCTAATTTAGATGACAATTTATCCATCGCACTGTCTCGGTGTGTGTATATATATATATATATATATATATATATATATATATATATATATATATATATTTTATTTAGTATATGCAGTACTTAGTGGAAAGTGCTCAGTATCATTGATAGAGCTAACATTTTCATTTGTATGGATAAGAGTTTGTGACCCTGGGTTTCACGCTTTTGCAATCATTAAATAGCAGTTTGATGATCGCAAATATGTGAAACCCAAAGTCACAAACTCATATCCATACAACTGAATATATATATATATATATATATATATATATATATACGCACAACACAGTTTCATAGAAACCCACAAATACATCATATACATGCAATGGGGAATATATGGGTTGGGGAGGATGATTAAGTTTATTAATTCTTGATAAGAATTTGAGAAGACAAAAGATCACCACTCAAAAAAGAGTTTTCGGTTAAAATCAGATTTGACTGACACTATCTCTTCTCTTCTCTTGTTCGTTCCTATTCTGGAAATATTTTATTTTTCACCATCAACTTCCTGCTTTCCTGTCGACTACAATCTACAAGAATTCAAAGTGAAATGTTGATCGCCATCTTCAGTCTCCATGAATCCGGTTCTTTCTATTGTCCTTTTTCCTCAGTAAAGCTTTCTCACTTTACTGTCTCTCTTTGTCACTAAACGTCCCTTGCTGCTTTGCTCGGAATGAAAGGATTTTAAAAAAAAAAAAAAAATTTCTGACAGTGGTTATAGGGTTGCTGCATAGGTGAGTGCTTGACCAGATCACTCCACATATCTCTGTTGCCAGCTAAAGAAGTGTTCATCCATGTATAGGATGATTTGGGTAAAGTAGACCTGGCTGAGCCCATCCCACTCCAGATAAGACAACAGCCAATGTCTTCCATTGACTTCAGTTTAGAAATCCCCCTGTCCAGCAAGGTCAGATCATCAACACACGAGATGCATAGATAGCTACGGAGCCCGTTCACCCTATGCTAAATGGCCGCAAGCCCATCAAAAAGGTTCATCTGCAATTTGACAGGTCTAGTTTCCAATTCTACCGAGTGTCTAGCTATGTTACTCTCCAGAAAAGAATCCTGGTTAAAAATAAAACTGATGAAACTCATTTTATTTTTAATTCAGATTTGCTGACACTGTCATATAGTGCATCACAGTTTTTCAACTTTACTCCTACAGGCTGTAGCCCAACATATGGCATTTCAGAATCAGGCCAACTCCATGAGCAAATTAAAAACATTCTCATCTGGACCCACAATCCTGAAATTTTGGATTCCCAAGTTTACATTACTCTTTTGTGATATTTTGCAACAAATTCTTTTGTATGATAATTTTTATAACTTGGAAATAAATTTGGGAATAATCAAAATTAACAGCGAAATCCAGCAAAAATCATGAAATAAAAATAATTGTTTGTATGGAAAGTAAGGACCTACATACATCAGATTAACTTTATATTAAGTGGTGGCAGAAAACTTATCACTGAACTTTTAAAAGATAAGCTTAACTATTAATGCAATAGTTAAATATGCAGCAATCAATTTTGAGTTTTTCTGTAGTTTATTGTTGCCCATCACAACTACTCCTACCTACCTCTAGTGACGAAGGCCCAATCAAGAGACCTCCACATATGAGAGCTTAAGTGGAATATATATATATTTCATTGAATATGACAGACAAGGTGCTTTTATTTAGTTTTTTATACAATCTCTCATGCGATCTAATAATTTTTTCTTTGCAGATAACTTATATAAAAACTGTCCAAATGTTTTTTTATCCGAGCAAACTTAAGAGAAGTATCTTGATGAAATTGATCATAAACAAAAATGACTAGTTCATCCTTAATTAATCAGAGCTGAAGTATTGAAATAAAGTTCATTATATATATATATATATATATATATATATAAAATGAACTTTATTTCAATACTCCAGCTCTGATTAATATATATATATATATATATTAATGAATTATTCACACTAAGAGAAAAAACAAGAACAACATCTATTCTATACCTGAAGATGTCTGTAGGAACAGACGAAAGCTTGTAGTAAAAATAAGAACTAATACGGCAGAAATTTATGGAAACAAGGATCATTTCATTCATAACGGATTCGGAGGTCTTTGTATATTATTTGAATTGTTTGCGATGATGGATTTCTCGCCAATTAAATCATTAACCTTTGCATTTGTTTTTGTGTGAATAATTCATGAATTTGTAAATTGATTGCACGTTTATCGTAATATATATATATATATATATATATATTATATATATATATATATATCACATGCCAAACATGTTATAAATTGAGTTGGATCTTTTCTAATTGATCTCTTTAGCTCTTAAGTTGAAATGATGATCCTTCTTGCTGTTGTGACCTCCTGATCCAGTTTTCCTCTCGACTGTTCCCTTTTTAAACTTCTTCAGTGTTCTCTTGATGGTTCTTGAATGAGCTTTGAATATGGAAGCCAGTGTATGAATGTTGGTATCATTACTGAAGGCCTGAATGATCTTTTTCCTCTCACCATTGCTCAGTTGGGTAGATAGTAGGGCTGACTGAAAACGATTTTAACCTGTTCTCTTTCTAGCCAAATACCTCAAAGGGTTTCTCGGTGACTCTTATGAAAATGGTGCCAAGATATTTAAACGTCTTAGCTGAAAACCTTGGAAAAAGAAACTCAATTGGTCCAGTGGTTTTTTTTTTTAGATATAAAACATTTTGTAGAATGGACAATTTTGCTGTTACACCTGGTATATATGTATGTGTGTATGTATGTACGTACATACACACATTTCCACCTATTCTATTTTTTTGTTTTGCTTTTTCTCATCGAAATATGTAGAAGCATTTTATATTTTTGCACGCCTAGCATCTACAATTTGGAGACAATTATCTTGACCAATTCCTTGTGCTTTATCTTTGCCAACTGGAATTTTCATTTTCCATCAAAAAAATAAATAAATAAATAAAAAGTAATAATAATAATAATAAAATAAATGGAAACAAAATGCAGATGGAGGTTGAACATAAGCTGCTTTGTTTGTAAGTTATACTTTGCAAAGCGCGACAGAAAGGATAGCCTCCTATAAATCCTCATGCAAAATAATACAAACGAAAAAAAAAAAAAAGAAAGAAAAAAAAGACACGAAATACTGAAGATTTTCCTTCATTTTTCTTTTTCCTTCATTTTTCTTCTTGTTACTCAAATGATTTAATGAAATTATTGCCTTCTGTTCCCTCAAACGTTGGTAAAGAAAACAAAAATTGGGAAACAGTTGAATGATTCTGTTAGGTGAAGAAAAAAGAAAAAAAAAAAAACATGAGTAGAATAGGTGAGGAGGAGGGGGGGTCCCTAATTGGGGGTGGATTGGGGTGGGGGAGTACAGTAAAGAAAAGGGGCAGTGAGGGAGTCACCAGAAAATGTAGCCTGCAGCAAGTAACAATCATCAGTCAGGAACAAAAAGATCCTGCAGACGAGATGGACTTTGTTGTGTTGTTTTTTTTTTCTCAAAAGTGTCCACTAAGCCGATCAATCTCCATCAAATCATCAATGATCTGAAAAAGACAAAAATTGATTAAAAAAAAAGAAATTTTTTATTTTATTTTTTTTTTTTTTTGACATGATCTGGTTGGTTCATATGTGTCGCTGAAGTGAAATTGATATCGTTATCTTTAATAGTTTTCTATTTTTGTGGTTAGTAAACCAAAGACAGAATTCAGTACCAGTTTTACCAATGTAGTCATTTTTGTACAACTACTAAATATTGATGAAGTTAAATGAAAAAACTAGGATACATCTAACTGCCAATAAAAAAATTGCCAAAAATCCAGGTTAAAATTTATCTCTAGAATAAAATCCAACATTCTCAGTTTAAATCGAAGTTTAGATATATTAGTGAATATAATTTCTGCAAAATAAAACAAATACCCCCCACACACACACAGACCAATTTTCTTCTTTTTTACAATCTGTGAAAATGACATTTGCCTATATTTCTAAAATGAGGTATTTTAATTATTTACACTATTTACATTGTTCAGACTATTGTCTTCATCTTTACTGTCACATTCACAACGTTTCGACCATTGTACGCTTCGGCCTTCTTCAGGATCTGTCTCTATTTCTGAGATGAGGTATTTTAACTATTTACACTGTTCAGACACTTGTCTTCATCTTTACTGTCACATTCACAACGTTTCAGCCATTGTATGCTTCGGCCTTCTTCAGGATCTGTCTATTTCTGAGATGACGTATTGGAACTATTTACACTATTTACATTATTCAGACTCTTCTCATCTTTACTGTCATATTTATGAATTTTGGCTGTTCTATGCTCTAGCTTTCTTTAGGTGATATACACTGAAATTTCAAATCCCAACCCTTTATTTAGTCCACTAGGGTAGCTTGCCCGCAAGGACACATGGCCTCGTGGATAGAAGCATTGGTTGAAGTAATCCAGTGATTTGAACCAAACAGTTGTGAGTTCAATACACAAAAACTTGGAGAGTTATTTAAAGGAAATAACTGAAACTGAGATATCCATGTAGAACTAGAACAATCTACCCCAGTGGTTTGGTTCAAAATTCCAAGATATATCAACTGAAGAAGCCTACAATGGTTGAAATGTTGTGATTATGACAATAAAGATGGTGACAACAGTCTGAACTATGTAAATAGTGCAAACTGCAAAAATGAGTTCAGCAGATATACAAAAATAGAAAATCACCCGACTTATTCAACCTATACAATAATGCGATTCTGAGATAATTAGAAGTCCTACAAGGATTATTGGCCACAATCTTAACATATGATATGCAGACAACACAGTGTTGATAGCAGATACACAAAGAAAGCTACAACAACTCCTAAACAAGGTAGTGAAGAAAAGCGAGAAGAAAATTTGATTTCGTTTGTTTTACGGCATATCAATCTCAATGGGTTATTTAATACCAACAAAATTTTTATTGTTGGTAAAATTTTTTTCAAAAATTTATTTCTGGTAATAATTTTCCTTCAAATATGTATAGATGGCAATATTTTTTTTTTTCAAAAAAAAAAAAAAAAAAAAAAAAATGTATAGCTGGTAATATTTTATTTTGTTGATCATCATACCCAGGACAGGCAAGAAGAAAGGATTCAATATCAACTGCAAGAAGACATAATGCGTGGTTGTTAGCAAAAGGATGAGCCCAAAATGCGAATTACAAATCTGAGATACCAAAATCAAACAAATGTGGAAATTTAAATATCCAGGAAGTGTTTAACAGAGGATGGAAAGAGCGACACTGAAATCTGAAGGCGTATTCGGATAACCAATAAAGTATTCCAAAAGCTAAGCTGAGTACTGAAAAATAAAAAATTTTGGATAGAAACAAGGAAAAAAAGTAATATCTGTCCTCCAATATGGCAGTGAGTGCTGGACAATCTCCTCAAAAATGAAGAGGAGACTTGTGGCAACAGAAATGTGGTTCTACAGAAGGATATTGAAAATACCATGGACTGAACATGTGGACAACAATGAAGTTTTAGAGAATATGGAAACAAAAAGGAAACTAATACTTAACATCAGGAAGAGACAGTTGAGGTTTCTGTGGAACCTAATGAGGAAGGGGGGCTTGGAAAATCAGATACTCATAGGACAGATAGAGGGACAGAAGAAAACAACACATGTGACACTGCAAGGATGCTGATAAATTGAAGAGAGAAAAAAAAGGGCTTAAATTAAATCAAAAGTGAACACATAAGACAAAGAAGAAAGTAGATAGAGTGAAGGACATAGTGAAAAGAAAATAAAATATACTTTTATATTGTCTATATTTCTGAGATGAGGTATTATTTACATTATTTGGACTATTGTCCTCATCTTTGTCGCCATAATTGTCACAACATTTCGGCTGTTGTACACTCCGGCCTTCTTCAGGTGGTTGGAATTTCAAACTGAACCCTTTATTTCGATCACTGGGGTAAACTGTTCTAGTTCCACGTGCCATGTTTTAATGGATGTCAGTTATCAGTTATCTCCTGCTAATTTCCCTCTGAAAGTTCTCCACTGCCTTAACCGGGTATTGAACTCACACTCTTTGGGTCCTGTCACTGGATCTAACCAACGCCTTTATCCACTGTACAACGGCCGAAACGTTGTGATAAATATGGCGACAAAGATGAGGACAATAGTTCGAATAATGTAAATAATATACTTTTATATTGTTTCTCATTTCATGAATAAGGACCTTGCTAGAAGATAGTGCTGAAATTTACTTGGGCATTTGATTAAAGTGAAGCCCAGGGGGGGTGAGGTGAAGGGAGTGGAATTTTAGGCATAGACTACCAAACTAGTTACAGATAATAATTTTATGGCTACAGGTGGGTGAGGAAAAAAAATGATTCTATGAAACTTGTTGATAGGGGTGGAGGATGCACATGTAACTAAAGGAACAAGATTTTCTCACGCCAGAAGATTTTTGTCAAGTGAGGAAGCAAGGAAAAGTGTGGAAAAGTTACGGACCAAATGTGATAATTAGGAATAAGAAATGCAGATAATAATTTTATGGTGACATTAAAAATAACATCTGTTTTATGTCAGACGTTCACAGAGAAACAACTATTCCCTGGATAGTGGCTCTGCAGCATTATAGTTTAACATTTTTAGCGAGCATGAGTAAAAGGATGTTGGAACAGGGCTTAGGAGAAATAACAGAAAGACAATTGACAGGTAGTTGTGGAGAGCCATGAACACCTACGTTCTGAGGGGACACAGCTCATAAAGAAGACCTTCAATTATTTTTCTGCTATAATATTCGATATTCATAATATGTAACTATATTATATTTTTTAATCAAGTGTAAATTTTTTTTTTTATATCTTCTACCTCTCTTTAATAATTGTTACAAATCCAACAACAGATTTACATATGCACAATACAACCTTTTTAATTTAAAACAAAAAAAAAAATGATCCAACTTCATAAAGAACCAAGAAAATGTTTAATATTCTACAAAATGTTGCAATGGACCATACTTATAAACACGCGCAAACCACAAAATAGCTTATTCCTAAATTTTCGCTTGAGGATGAAACAGGACCCAACACCTTGATTCAACTATATTTTAATAATTATACTGATGGTTTCGGCTCTCGTTTTCGAAACATGAGAACTCTTATGTAGCGAAGGAATCATTTTTAAAAAAATATTATAATATACATATATATATATATATATAAACTTTATGTATATATATATATAAAAAACTTTATAATTATATATATATATATATATATATATATATATATATATAATTACTCTCTAATCTTAAGAGAAGTATCTTGATGAAATTGATCATAAACAAAAATGACTTGTTCATCCTTAATTAATCATAGCTAAGGATTGGAAGCTTTTTGGTTGATGTCCTTTGTATCCAGCTAACCATTTCTGGTTATTTCTTTTTTTGTTTTTATATAAGAACTTCATCTCCACCTTTCATCTCCACAGTACAATTCAGCGATCTGAATGGCAGTTTTATATACACTCATTTTTTTTATTCTTTTATTTCTTCAAAGAACAAACAAAACAATACCAAACAGACCTTACACTTGTAAAACATTCCACATATCAACACAAACATTTCTCATCTGAATGTGCAAACTATTCCCACTGACAAGGCAGTGAGAATGAAACAATGAAGAAAGTGAGAATAAAATCAGAGTTAAAATTCATTTTTAGAATAAAATCCCAGATTCTAAGTTTAGATAGAAATTTTGGGATACTTAATGAATACAATTTCTACAAAAAAAAAAAAAAAAACTAAAAAAAAAAAAAAAAAAACTATCTTCAGGTCATGAAGATTGCATTCAAGCAAGACACTGTCGCCACTCAGTCTTAACCTGTGCTAACTCTTATATTTATACACATGCTATCAAGGTTATTGAGTACTTTAACCCATAAATGTAGTATACATTAAAACTATATATATATATATATATATATATATATATATATTTATTAGGTGGGGGTGCCAACTATAGAGAAACTTATCCACCTTACCTCATAGAAAAGTGTAAAGAGTTCTATTTAGAGACCTATCCTGGGCTTTAGTCAAACTAAGCTAAGTCTACTCCATATATTTTACACTAAGAAGACTGGTGCAACACAATCTTCCCAACCTGTATTTGGCTTTGTGCCAGACAAAGCAAGGTAAATATCAATACCAATAATGTATTTTTATGGGTTATCACTGAACCAATTATGCAGTGATGAAAACTATATACTGTCCACTCCTTATGGTAACCAACAAACTTTTTCCATCAGCAGGAATAGAAGCAACCAACTTACTTGATCCACGGTAATACCAATTCGCCGAGCAACTTCACTTTTTTCAATGACACTCAGATTTGTGTACTTCCACAATAATTCACCATCCAGGATATTCCGGCTTGGATTGAAGAGCTCAGGGATGGTTGCCCTGACGGCCCTGAAGAAAACAAACAAAAAATGTTATGAAGAAAACAGTAAATATCTACTCTTGAAATGAGTCATGCTTTTTTTTATGTACACCAGCACACCAGTCTAACACAATAACAATAATCAACACACAGTGTCATCACTATAAATACACTCGCCATCTAAAGCATTCCAGTTAATCTTTCTGTACAAGCCGTCTAAATGTATGCTTGTTCAAAAACAATAAAAAACAAAAACACTAAAATTAAAATTCAGTACTATTCCTGTAAATATACACCCTAATATCAAAGTAGACAAAAATAAAATGTTCTAAATACAAACTTTTTTTTTTTTTTTTTAATTTCACAAACAAGTCAAGAAAGCTACTCAGACAAGTGTTAGAGAATATGAGAAAAAAGTATTAAGGAGAGAGGACAATAAAAAAAACAAAAATTAAAAAGACAGAAGATAACTGACGTTGAATTAAAATTTTTGAAGATCAAGCTTGACTGGAAATCAAGAAGGTGGAAGGAAGAGAGTTCCACAAGCGATAGAAGAAACTGCTAGCATAGAACTTATGGTTACATGTAACCATTTCAACAGCAAAATGATGAGACCTTGCTGCCAATCTAGTACTGCACTTAAATTCATAAGGTCTTGGTACCATAGTGGAGAGTGATATTTATTTTGAAAAATACAAAAATGTGGTACAAGGCCAAAAATGGGAGATGGGGGAAGGCTAGTCTTCAATCTGTCTTATCTTAAACTTAGCTAGCCACGATTAATGACCCAAACATACAACAGTATTCCTTACACCAAAACAACACAGTCTTACTACAGCCACCATAATACCTCAAAGTCTCTATGAAGTCCTAACTAGTTTCCATATGTACAATTTGTTGGGGAGAGAGAGGGTTAAAATAACTTTTAAAAATGAAACCCCAATGAGGAAAGTTCATCTGAACAATTACCAAGAAAGTATTTATAGAAAAGGCACAGGGAAGCTATGATATAGCAGCGGGAAAGTGATTGAAGCCAGGATGCCAGGTCAGGACGAATAACATTGCAGATTCTTCTTTGGATTAACATATCATAAGATATGCAGATGACACAGTTGTCATAACAGACACTAAAAGGAATCAGCAGAAACTCCTAGGCAAGATAGTAAAGGAAAATGACAAGAAAGGACTAAGCATCAATTGTAAGAAGACAGAATATGTAAGTGCCAGCAAGAGAAATAGCCTAAATAGGAACTATGAGCCAGAGATACCAAAATCGAGCAAGTACCAAAATTAAGATATTTGTTATAACTGAGGACAGAAAATGTGACAATGAAATCCGAAGGCGGATTGGAACAGTGAAAAATGCCTTCCAAAAGCTAAGCAACGTATTAAGAAAACAGAAAAGAGTGTTGAACTGTTATATAATATCAGCCCTCTTATATGACAGTAAAAGATGGACAATCTACACACAGAAAAAGAGGAGACAAGGCAACAGAAATGCAGTTTTTACATTTAAGGATCCTGATAACAACATGGACTGAATATATGAGTAACAAAAAAGTTTTCAGAAAAATGCAAACAAAAAGGACATTTGTGCATAGAATCAGAAGAGAGAGTTGAAATTTTTAGGACACATAATGAGGAAAGACGGCCTAGAAAATTTGACACTCACAGGACAAACTGAATCTAAGAGGGATAGAAAAAGCAATAAGCTACCTAATGAGTTTGTGTAAGTAGATGGCAGAACAGGGACAATGAAAAAAGGAAACCTTACTAAGAGCTACAAAGGATATGAAATTGTAGAGAGCCACGATCACTCACAGCCTGAAGGGACACGGCACATAGATTATTACTGTTAATATTTTACAACTGTGAAATCTTTTGCATCATTTTTTTTTTTTTTCTGAAGCAATTGGGGTACCGTTAAAATCATGATAAAAATATATTCAGCTACAAAACAGTATTTAAAAAACTTCAATTATAAATTTATTTTTACTTCAAATAGGGAAAATGAAATGCTGAATAATTAATATATTTAAAAAGGAAAAAACAAAATCCACTGGCCTTAAATACTGATTTTTGTTATCTCACAGAACAAAACAAAAAAAAAGTAAGCCTGTTTATGTAAAAGGATATCTATTTAAGACTTGGCAACTTATATAAGACTTAAACAAAAAACTTAAGAATTCCCAAGCCAAAAATTAATTAAAATTTTATTGTTCTTCACAGTTCTTCTTCAGCAGATTGATTTTTATCACACTTTCTTTTTAATTATTTCACCACAAGCAAGGAAATAAATCCACTAAAAAACAAGGTCACTGAATGTGAGATTTATTGATTGTTTCTTTTTTTTATAGCTTAACTTTTTGCAGGTTATTTAAAGCCAGAAAATACTTTAAGATTCTAAGAATTTTTTTCTTTTAAATAATGATTTAGTGATATAAGTCTTACTAATTAACCCATAGCTGGCGGGAAAAAGGGAGATTCATACTATTTCGCACATATGCGAATATAACAAACGCAACAGGAATCGGAACTCGGTACTCATTATTAATTTCAAATTATTTTAGGTTTTTCTTTGTTTTTTTTTTTTAACATCTTTTAAGCCATTATCCAATACACCACCTGCACATCCAAGCTTACAACATCTGGTATTCCCTTTTGAAAAAGAAATTTGTCAGTTTCAAACCTAACCACTTCTAAAAAGGATTTTTTTTTTAAACACTTTTTCTCGTAAGGCAAAATATCACTGACAATATTAATGTGATCTTAGGGAAACATCTTGCCTGCCTGGCCAGAATAATCATTGCTTTAGTTGCCCACTACAAATCATTTTCAAGCATTATTTTATGGGCAGAAAAAGAATAAAAAACTTTTCTCACAATATCGAAAAAGCTACTGCCAATGACTGATATTCAGTAGACAATTCAGCTCACCTATACCTATAAATGTGTGTGTATATATATATATATATATATATATATATATATATATATTGAAAAAGAATCCAATCATCAATTGGCCTTTTTGGATGTATTAGTACATCACCTATTAACAGGTTTTCTCACTTCCGTTTATAGAAAACCTACTTTCGCAGGGTTGTACACGCGTTGGGACTCTTTTTGTCCCACTAAGCACAAGATTAACATTATTAAAACCCTCCTACATAGAGCATTAAAGATCTGCTCTGAGCCTTTCTAGAACGATTTAAAATCGATTTTTTATTAAGGATACCCTATGTAATTTGGGTTATCCTCTTGATACTGTTAATTCAGTTATCCGTAGTAAAGTTGAAGAGTTCAGAAGTGCCGAGTTCTACACTGTCAAAAATGCCCAGTTTACCTCAGATTACCCTGGATTGGTACCAAATGTGAAAAATAGCTAAACAAATTTCATCCAATGTTCGTTGTTGTTTTTTCTCTGCTGAAGTTCAGATTATTTTTCAAACTCGGCCTATGTTTCGATCTGCGTGTAAAGACGTTCTCCCTCACCATCAAATTAATACAATTATTTATAAATACGTTTGTAGTTGCGGAGCCGACTACATAGGGAGAACAACTCAACGCTTAGACATGATAATAAAACAACACGTTCCTACAAAAATTAAAAATCACACCCTGCCTTTGAGTGGACGTTCCGAACACCTATAGTTCCGCCATATGCGAACATCTATTAAATAGCAGAGATTGTGCAGCCAAATTTAGTGTTAACTGGTTCACCATGTTGTCCCGGTCTCACTCCTTATTTCATCTAAAGGTTCTGGAGGCACTTTACATTGGGTCCCGTAAGCCTTCTTTGTGTAAACAAAGTGAGTGTTTGTTGGGACTCGCTGTCATTTGTCTAGTTCCTTTTGCTTTTTTTTTTTCACACAATTTCCTTTTATTGTACATTTTTCTGTGTTAATTTTAAATCTCCTTTGCTTTTCCCGTTTTTAATATGTCTCATAATATTAAGTTTTATACTTTTATTTATATATATATATATATATATTTATATTAGTTTAAAAGCCAACCAAGCTACCTCAGTAAGGGAAACTTTGTTACATAACCTATGATGACAATTTAGAATAACATGACAACATACTCTAGTATAAGTACAATCTTTTCGTGCATTAAGGTTAAGATAGATTAAATTAGAAATCAATATAAAAGTGAAATTTTAACAGTTAAATTTAAACTTATAAATTTCAAATGTCAAATTCTAAAGTTAATCGAGCATTATGTTTAATATTATTTCAAGATTTTTCAGAAATAAAACTAGGAGAAATAATAAATTTTATTGTTCTTAGTGAAGTGCCAATTTACAAGTTTGACGATGATGTAAGAAGTATCTATGATCGCTACACATACTTGATACATGGAAGTCTGAATTCAAATAAGGAGGTAGATAGGGAAGGGAATTTTCAAATGACAGGACAAACACATTCACATCATAATACAAACATGTAAGCAAATATATGAGCACATAAATACAAGGACATATATCCACACAGGAAATAAAAGAAGGAAAATTCAAAAAATAAAAACAAAAATGAAAAAAGAAGAAAAATGAAGACAAACATACATATAAAAAAACCACGAAAAAGAAAACTGTCGGACATATGTATATACAGGTAAAAGCATATACAAACAATCTAACACACATACAAATATATGAATAATCAGACGTACCAAAATTCAAGCATGAACCAACCATCAATATTTTACATACACACACAAACATACAGATAAAAAGAGGATTAAATAAAAGTAAGAAGTCCATATATATGCATATGTACGATGCATACATATATGTAGTTGAAATACACATATCGGGCTATAGACAAAGCAAAGAAAGAAGACATATATGCACACACACACATACATACATACATAAATATGAAGGATCAAACTCACATGTGCAAACAAAATACACACACACATGTTATAAATTTGAATATATATATATATATATATCTGACTTATGCCAAATCAGTCTAGTTTCGATCTTGGTTTGAAGCAATTGGATGTCTAGCCACACTGATGAACTGTGATAAAGCAAAACAGGCTGCCTGTGGTGTTTATATATATATATATATATATATATATATATATATATATATTATGATTTTAGCTGTGTCTTTAAAACCCAGTAATTTTAAAAGTTACTCCAAAATTCGCTTGAGGATGAAATGGAACTAATGTCTTTAATTTAATTACAAAATTAAATTTAGCTTCCATTTTTGAAACATGGTTAGAACTGTGTAGCGAAAATAACCATATTTTAAATTAATTTATAATATATACACACACATATATATATATATATATATATATATATATACACACATGGTCTGATCAAAAACTATAAAGACTTATCTATTATACCACTTGCACATACAATTTTACAGAACCTGGTATTCCCAAGTGGTCACCCATCTAGATACTGATCAGGTTCAATGTTGCTTCACTTCAGGGAACCAATATTTCAATGTGATGTGGCCACAAGCCTCAGTGAAAATTACAATTTCAGCTGTGTAATTAGGATTTATTATCAACAGACATGGAAAAAAAAATACAATAAGAATGCCTGAAATGCAAAAGCATTAATTCTTACCTGTAAGCTTTTGGGTTGAGTCCTGCGATGTGTGGAATGTGAGTGGCCATGGCATTCTGAAGCATAAGTAAGCGTCGATAAACCTTCTCCGAGATTGGCATTACATTGCCAATACTTCCATCCAGTGTGGCTGAAAAACATAATCAATAGAATAAATGATATTAAAAAAAATATAGAAATTTTTTCTAAAGAATTTCACAAAGATGCACATTGCCACTATAAAGAGAAAAGGCAGCTTTATTATTTTTGTCAAATCTGTATTTAATATCTCAATGTTTAGGCTTAACCATTAGAATTGCAAATCTAAATCTAGCTTTTAGAAAAGAAGTCTTTCTGATTTTTAAAGATCAAAACTTTTGAAGGTGAGAATTAAAAAAACAAAATAAATTAAATAGAAATATAAAACAAAAATCGATATTTCTTTATTCTTGTATTATTTCGAACTATTGTTCTCATTTTGGTTGATATAAATGCTATTATGGACACAATGTTTCAACCCATTACCATCTGGTCATTGTCAGATGTCCATTGATTGGCTGATATGAGATAACTGTTGATTGGGATATTTTGTCCTTGTCATGTCAGTTATTGTTTGTTCCTGTTAAATTGGTGCTCCACTACTGGATACAAAGATTGAACTCATGACAACTAGATGACACTAATACTAATATCCACTACTCCACAATCCTGAAAAAAAATGTCTTTGTGGTAAAAATGAAGGCAGATCTGATTCCAGTGATCTTGTTAAGGAATATGAATATTTGGAGATTGAATTCTCGAAGTTCCAAAGATCAGAGCCAACCGATATAAGGAGGCAATTAAAAACTTCTTGACAAGTTATATATATATATATATATATACACACACACACACACACACAAGGTTGAGCCATAAATAATTTCCTGCTTTGTTTATCAATGTCATTCTTCAAAAAGTAAAGTAAAATTACATTTTATTCAATTATATAATCACATTATTTGCAATGACTTATCACTTATCAGGCAGCTCTTTGATAACTTCCGAGTAAAACTGCACAGGTTGCAATGTGAAAAAGTTTTCAACAAACTTTTGAATCTGATTTTCAGAGAATGTTTCCCCAATCAAAAAAGAGATAATAATAGGTTGATTCATGGTCAGGTAAATACTGCAGATTGGATAGAATAGACTGACTGATTTTGTAAATGTTTTTCTGTGTTTTTTCCTGCTATGGTTATGGAGGGGAACAACATTTTACCTTAAATTCACACTGTACACTGTGACTGCTGAGCAAAAACAAAAGTATTTTTACTGTAGTCCAAATTTATTAACTACCACATGATTATTATTTACGTTATCATTACAATTGGTTCCCAAAAATGAAAATTACTTGACTCAAAGTAATATATAAGGAATTTTGCACTTCTGTCTGGTATTTTCTTTTTTGTTCTGTTTTTTTTTTTTTTTTGCTTTTTAATCAAAACACCTGTAGAGTTTGGTAGTGGCAAACATTAATACTCAGCTGTAATAGAAGTTGAGTCTTACTGAACAAGTGTAGAATTTGGCAATAGCAACAGACAGTACTCAACTGTAATGGAGTGGGTAGGTGGTTTATATCTGGGAGATTCCATTCTGATACTCAGGCAAGCCTATTCTTTAAGTCCTGATTGGCTGCTGATTCCAGTGTGAATAGTGTGCTCAATAAATATCCATGCCAGTACACCGTGAATCTCTGGGAAAATGTATTGAGTTTCAACCCGCTTTATTTTTGTCTGCCAACTGGATGCTAGTTGGGAACCTTCTTCCCAGGATGAGCCTCACATTCCTGATTGTTCAACACCAGAGTGTGTATTTGAATTTCAAAATTTATTTCCAATGCATGCTGCATACTTAATGATCCTGAGAATGTAACAAAACGTAAAATAGCTTGAAATTAATAACAAAAATGCTCAAGGGAAAACCATTCTAAAACCTTTCATGTGTTTATGATGGATTTTCAGGAATTATACAAAATGTGATGGCCATTATAATGAATACTGACTGCCCTAACTGTTATTTGGACTTTGTAACATGGATTCTCTTGATTATAACCTTTGGCTCTTCCTATCTCTGCTCTTCCACATTCGTCACCCAATTTTGGTACATCATAAGTGCATACTTCCAAATGGATTTCCTCATCAACTTCATACCACTCCACTTAATAATTTCCATATCCTACTCTTCTCTAGAATAATCAACGTCTTCATATTCATCACTAAGAATCTCATCATTGTTCTTTTTTGTTCGGTTTTAATTCTTTACAATGGCTCTCATTCAATTTTGCTTTTAAAGATGAAACGCAATTAAATAGAACTTCTTCCCGAACCTCTGACATCTTTTGTAAACTGATGCGATGTAAGGGAGACAATGTTGTAAAAGAAGAAAATGTGAAGGGTGGAACAAAGTGTTCCTCACTTGATTCCTCTGGTCCACCTCTGAACGGTTGGTTGGTTTTCTTTAGTAGCATATTAATGTCTACAGGATATTTAATGCTGAAATCGAAATATTTTGAATACAATTTTACGGCTTCAACTAAATATATACTATAAATAGGTATCGTTGGTTGGTTGATTTTTTTTTAGCAGCATATCAACCCCTATGGCTCATTTAATGCCAAAATTTAAATATTTTGAACAGTTTTATGGCTTCAACTACAGATAAAATATATTGTTGGTCATTTTTCTATAAAATGTATTCTTGGTAATTCTACCTTAAAATGCATTGTTAATTTTACTATAAATATGTATCATGGGTAATTGTTTTTTATGAAAATGTATTGCTAGTATTTTTACTATAAAAATCTATTTTTATATCTTCATAGTGTTGTTGTTTGGTGGTTCACTATTTGCTCATAGCCATGACCCTAACAGGTGTTACCACCCTGGGTCAGGGTGAATCAGAGGACAACAGCAATTAAGAGGTGGTTCCATGCTTCTTAAAACATCTAATCCCCCGATCAGAGGCCTTGCTGCCAGATGTAGTTTGTGATCATACCCAGGATTAGTTCCAGATCTGTTAAGAATTTATATTTTGTACATAGGCAAGTTTTAAAAACACTACAACATAAAAATTCAAAGATCTTGTTTTGGCAAAGAAAAATAAAGGAATGCGACTAAAATTCTGTAAAATTACATTTTTTTTTGTATTGAATCATTCAAATGCAATTCTAAAGCTACAACAAAATATCTTCAAGCATCAACTATGAAAGATATGGCTAATTCTGAGAAATCTCTATTGACATCACCTTCTGAAATACAGAATGCAAAAAGAAAGAAAACAGAAGTTTGAAGACCTAATAAGAAAATGCTAAACAGAAACAGGAAAAATTATCTGGGAAATTCAAAAAACAGAGAAACAAATAAATGTACAATTTAAAAATTTAGATATCTTAGATAAGGGATTATCAATATTATACAAAGATTTATTATTATACATTAATCTATTCAGACTAGTATCCTCATCTTGGTTGTTATAGTCCCAACCTTTCAGCTGTTTCTTAGATGAGGAATTATCATTATTATACATTGATCTATTCAGACTAGTATCCTCATCTTGGTTGTTATAGTCCCAACCTTTCAGCTGTTTCTTAGATGAGGAATTATCATTATTATACATTAATTTATTCAGACGGGTATCCTCATCTTGGTTGTTATAGTCCCAACTTTTCAGCTCTTTCTTAGATGAGGAATTATCATTATTATACATTGATCTATTCAGACTAGTATCCTCATCTTGGTTGTTATAGTCCCAACCTTTCAGCTGTTTCTTAGATGAGGAATTATCATTATTATACATTGATCTATTCAGACTAGTATCCTCATCTTGGTTGTTATAGTCCCAACCTTTCAGCTGTTTCTTAGATGAGGAATTATTATTATACATTGATCTATTCAGACTAGTATCCTCATCTTGGTTGTTATAGTCCCAACCTTTCAGCTGTTTCTTAGATGAGGAATTATCATTATTATACATTGATCTATTCAGACTAGTATCCTCATCTTGCTTGTTATAGTCCCAACCTTTCAGTTGTTTCTTAGATGAGGAATTATCATTATTATACATTGATCTATTCAGACTAGTATCCTCATCTTGATTGTTATAGTCACAACCTTTCAGCTGTTTCTTAGATGAGGAATTATCATTATTATACATTGATCTATTCAGACTAGTATCCTCATCTTGATTGTTATAGTCCCAACCTTTCAGTTGTTTCTTAGATGAGGAATTATCATTATTATACATTGATCTATTCAGACTAGTATCCTCATCTTGGTTGTTATAGTCCCATTACACACCTTTTTATTCAAATTGATTTTTTTCCTTTTATTTTGCACCTTTTTACTCCCCAGATTCCTTTAAATACCTGTTCTATTTGGTAATTTATCTGCAAAAATCTACATACAGACTACAACTGACCCATCCATGAACATATGATCTGTGTTCATTGAAATTGTTTTTATTTTTATTGCTTTTGTAAATGCAAAAAAACAAAAAAAAAAAAAAAAAATCATTTAAACTGAAATAAATTCTCTTTTTATAAAAACAGGTTTCCAGCCCTGGTAAAAGCAAAAACAAACTCACCAAAAAATGTAATATGCCTCTTTTCAGCCACACTAATCATTTTGCGGTCAATCGACTGATCAGAAAGTTTACAGCGAACACGGAATGTACTTAAAACATGGGAACCAATATTCATGTCTGCTCGACGCAAAAGTCTCTGTCCTCCGCAACTTTCGCGAGCTTTAAGAAAGAAAAATGAATAGATTCTAAAATAACTTGACTGGTTTAACAATTTGAACAAACACATCAAAGTAAAAACAATTAAAAAAAAAAAAATTTGTAATAATCCATTCTAAAGCATTTTTTTTTCTGAATGAGTAAAAGCCCCCACTATAATGATTTTACAATTCTTTGAGTTCATGTCTACCAGAAGTGTTTCATAAGAAAAAATGAGGGGTCTACAATGAGAAGAGAAGATGATACACTTCTTGTGTTGAAATCCATCCATAAAGATGCTCTGTTATTGTAGCAATATGAGTCAGTTGAGGTCTTGCTAAATTGAAAACATCTAGACTTGTCACAAAAATGAATACAGAACATTTACTTTCAACCAATGGTTATCAATAATAAAAGTCAACTTCGAAGTACAGAGCAAGAGGCTCAGACAGAGAGAAAGTCACGGAATGAAGATAAATTACTTTTGTAGACAAAAATGACAAGACAAAGAAAATCGTTATCTATAAAACTGACAAACCTGCAAACACAGAAGGGTGAAGCAGATATCAGAGAACGGGCAGGAAAGACAGCCGTTAGGGTGTGTACCTCCCACCTCACCTACATCTCATCTTCACTTGCTTATAGCAGTAGGTTACACCCCAAGAATAAAATACTGCTAGAAATTGTTCTGTTTTTTTTGTTTTGTTTTTTTACTTGTGGGTAATGATCTGGCCAAAGGGTAATTTTTAAGCCACCAGTGTTTGACAGTGGAAGAAACTGTACCCTATCAACAAACCTGGTGTCTGGTCTGAGCTATAATACAACATTATTTATAAATCTAAATGTCAGTGTGAAACTGACTACATTAAGTAGAACCACCCCACCTATATTGGAGATGAGAATCTCTTAGTATACACCAACACGCATTCATAAAGTTCAATTTCAAAATTTGCATTACTGTGATAGTAATGTTATTTTAGAACATTCTTATTGATAGTCAACAATCCACTTTGTCTTGTCATGTGGAGACATTCTTTGCATTGAACTGTCCACATTCAGTCCGTCCAGTGGAAGTGTTAGAGATCAGTTTTATGCTCTACACAGACTTTGTATAAATAAAAAGAATGGTTATTGGTCTCAAGACAAGAGGAAAAACTATTCTTAGTCAAGACATTTCATCCTCTGAGAGTATCAAGGTAAATGTAGGATTTATTTTGTTGCATGTGTTTTTATACAAGAGCAAGGATGACATTGGTTTATCAAAGCTTCAGAAACATATGCAAATTTACATCCTTGCACTTGTATAAAAACACATGCAACAAAATAAATCCAACACTGTCCCTTAGCAGAAGAAATGCATTGGCTAAGAATAGTTTTTCTTCTTGTCTTTATATATATATATATATATATATATATATATATATATGTTAGTACCTCTACAGATTCCCTTTAAAAAGAGCAACACCAGGAAGAAAACATGCTGCAAACTTAAAAGCAAAGTTTTATCGTCAAAACCTTTGTAATTATTAGGACCAAATATTAATTTGTTTTTTTTTTTATCCTTTTTTAGATCGTTCAAAACTTTGATTATAATTTTGTTTTTCTTGTGTCAGCAGGAGACCAAAGATTAGTATTGGAAATTTTAGCATATTTTTGTGTGGTGAAAAACACATTGATTTGGAAATTCTTGCAAAAATCAAATAATTGTCAGATTTTAATTAAACTTTCTGGACTTATTCACAAATGAATTAAATTATTTTAGAAATGTTTACTTTTTAGAAAAATCATGATAAAAACTTTTTTTTTTTACAACTGTTATCCAGCACTTTTTTAATTTTATGAAATTTGATAATGGTACAGTAGGTAAATATGTTTAGGGTCATTTGAGGTAGTTTTATGCTCTTTTTGATTTATGTTAATATTTCTAATGGCTCATCTAATTTGTTCATCAACGATGTCATTACGAAAGTCATTATTACTGAGAGATTTTTTAATTCAATGTAGAAAGTTCTTTTGTGGAGGAATGAACTTTTACAAGGTGTATCAAATTTTGTATAATAGCTTTTTTGTAATAGTGAAAGCATTCACTTTTTATTTACATTATATATTTACATATAATGAATAAATACAGAAGAAAAACCAAACCGTTTGGGCCTCTGATGGACTTTTACAAGGTGCATCGGGTAAGTTTTCCTTTTGTCTTTATTCAGTCCTTTTAGAGATTGCAATTGCTCTATATATTATTCTATATATTTTAGTTTTTATCTGAAATTTTACAAACTCACATATATATAACCATGTATTTTTTCATTGCCCACTTAAATTTCCAAGCATTTTCATTAAGACTACTTAGTCTTCTTAAGTTTCATTCACAACCTTTTATTTGACACATTAAATCCAACTAGTAGTACCCGTGAAATTTGATTTTTCTGATGAATCAAAATTGTTCATTTAATGACTGAGTAAGCTCATGGCAAAGTCTACCACCATAAAACATTTGTGTAAATTCAGCTATTGCACCATTAAATATTCAAGCTTAATAACTTTAACACAATATTGCAATAACAATCGTATGTATGAATGCAGGTCATTATTTAAAGAAATAAGAGGGTACAAATGAAAAGATTTAAAATAGTCAAGTTTTTATTTTCATCACACTGAAGCAGACATTAAACATATGTGCATGTTATTGTCTCCGCTATTTTCTCTTTCTTCCTTTCTTTTTCTCAGCAAAACCAAAACAGTGTCTCTGATATGTTTTTCTGTCTTCTCTCACAATCAAAATGGGATAGTCCATTATTTGTGAGGTATGGGCAGGGTATGACATATGTACTAAGGAATAAGCAGTGTTCTAATACGAGGATCTTGTAATAACATTATTATCATTATATATGCCAAACAATGGCTAAAGTTTATTTCTGGTCTTACCTTCTGGTTGATAAGAGTAGACCAACAGATTCTTCAATCTGTCGGTCACTGAAATTGAAAAAGAAAAAAAAGATAGTAATACATAGGCACACTTCATGAAAACAGCAAACAAGTAAAAACAATACATGACTCTTCATCAAGGTGAAAATAATTGATGATAACATGAATAATTGTTTTAAAATTACTTAAATAATAAAGACTCCATTATAAAATCAAGTTTAGTCAATATCAATAAAGAGACTTCTTTAAAAAAAAAAAATTATTTTAGGCAATACTAATAAAGAGATTTACTCCCTTAAAAAACAAATTTTGGCAAATAGCAATAGATTTAAACATGCATATCTTTGTTCATTTAAAATTTTCAGTTTACACTATTCATATCAAAAAAAAAAAAATTAATTATTGAAAAGTTAAAAAAATAAATTAAAAGTTCTAGAATCCTTTCAAGATAAAGTATTTTACTATTTTATTTTAAATTAAAAAAAAGCAAAGAACTGGTAAATTTCATTATGATAAAAATAAAAAAAATGCATATCACAAAAGTAACTGAAAATTTATCATCAAGAATTAATATTATTCCTCACTGACGCAAAATTATAAATTCATATAATCATGCTCTGATTAACAATAACATTATAAATATTAAATATTTATAAATACTCATGTCCTGATTAACAATAACATTATAAATATTTATAAATATTCATGTCCTGACTAATAACATTATTGTGGTTATAGTCAAATTAGGTTGTATATAAGTGGGAAACTTTCTACGCTCGGGAGATAGTTACCTTTCCTTGACTACACTGCGTACTTGCAAGAACTATACATGACAACAACATGGCGTCAGCAATGGGATATCTAACCTTGTTAGATGATCCCAAGCGTGTTGAAACATGGATGAGATGTTTTGCCGTTTTGGCAAGTCAAGAAATTGAGTGACAACCAAGATAGAGGAGGAGTAAATGAAGTAATGGATTTATTTCTACCATCAATGGGTTGTGAAGCCATAAAAAAAAGATCTCCATAGTGATCTATCCGAAGATGCTAGAAGACTTGACTTTTGAAGAAATTGACAACATTGTACAAGCAAATGTATGTCCAAAAAAGAAACTGGTCATAGCTGAGATGGTGAAGTTTCTTGAAATCAGGCAAAACTCAGATGAAACCATTAGACAGTACGTTCACAGGATAAAAGAAGCATAATTTAAAAAGATGGGTACAGGACTGATGTCTAAAGAGGAACGAATATAGTTAAGGTTAATTGAAAGAATGTATGATGTCTCGAGTAAGTACAAAATTTTGGAACAGCTTCAAGTCCAGAAATTGAAATGAATTTTGAATTTTTACAGCAGTTAGAGTCTAATTCAGAGATTTAATACCACTAAGACTAACATGGAGACATACAGTACTATAGAGAGTTTATATAAATATATATTAGAGGTTATTTTCAACCAGAGGAAAAAGTTACCTAAAGTTATGTCGTCCAGACTTTTGAGGTGGGTGATTAAGCTTATGGCCTTCAATTTCCACATTGTGTATAGTAAAGAAAATGCCATTCCTCACGTAGACTCATTGTCAAGATTGTTTCAACATTCTGGGTATTAAAATTCAAAGGACAGTTGCGAGAACAGAATTTGGCACCGGGTAGAGACAGATGTGTTATCCTTCAGGCACCTCAAGTTTGAAACCAAGCAAGATCCTGTATTAAACATAGTACTGAATAGAATACGGAATAATATATAGAGCAATTGCTTTATGGCAGGAAGGCCTTTTAAGGAAGCAAGACACGGATTGACAACTGAAAGAGGAGTCATATGTAGTGGAGATCTTATTGTACCACGAAAGTCATTAAGATGTCATTTAAGCAATACACAATGACATACATGGTAGTGTATTGAACACACAACTGAGGTTGAAACTACAAACATGGTGGCCAGGGTATACGCGAGACATGGAGGATTATATCTGAAAATGCTTTTAAGTGTGCAAAGATAAAGAACTTTAGGCAAACCAAGATTCATTCATAGCCAAAATAGAGGGAGCCATTGATAAGAGTACACATGGATCATGCTTACATTAAAGATGTAGGCCTATTCCTTATACTAGTAGACTCGTGTTCAGGTTGGCATGAAGTGGTTAAAGTTTTGGACAGAAAAGCAAGTACTGTAAAACAGATGTTAAGAGTAGTATTTTCGAGAAATGGAGTACCCAAGATATTGGTGTCGGATAATGCACCAGAGCTTGTTGAAGAAAGCTTATGTAAATGGTTAGCACAAATTGGATGTAGCCATACAAAACATCCCCAAACCATCCTCAGTCAAATGAAATTGCAGAGAGGATGGTCTAGACAATAAAAGTTGCATTGAAAGCATTCTGTCCATGGAATTGCAGCCTAGAAAGTTATCTACCAAGATTGCTTTTAAGTTACAGGAACCATCCAGCATGCAGGTAGAACACGAAGCCCTTTGGCATTGATGGGAAGGCAAATGAGAGCCCCAATAACCATGTCCTTCTCAACAAATGGGAATGCATGGTACAAGAGGAATAAGGATTCAAATCCTGAGAAAGCACAATTAGTAGTGCAAAAAGGATTTAATACAGGTATATCAACAAAAATGGACAGGGCCTGTTAACTCATGAAGGCCAATTTAGATTGCAAAGAGAACCAGAAGATATTGAAATGGAGGAAGAACCTGGTGCTGAAGAGAAGGATCAAGATGATCACCAAGATTTTGAGAGTGAAGGGGAGGAGAGAATGATTGTGTCTAGTGATAATGAGGAACACGAGGAAGGTTCAAATGAAGAAAATCCAGTAAGACTGAGATCTCCCATAAAGAGGAATCTAAGCAATCACCATGAGACAAACGGTACACCTCCTGGACTGGTTCGTAGAAGTAGAAGATCTACCAAGGGCATCAAGCCATTAAGGTTCCAGATGTGGTGATATGCAAATTAGGTTGTATATAAGTGGGAAACTTTCCACACTCGGAAGGTAGTTATCTTTCCTTGACTACACTGCATACTTGCAAGAACTATACGTGACACAATAATTAAAAATATTAAATATTACCATATTTTCATGCCCTCATTAATGAGAACCTTATAAATACTAAATATCAAATATCTATGCTCTGATTGACAAAAACTTTGAAGATAACAAACTTAAATGAAAATGTTATCAGCTTACCAACAAAGCAAAGGTTTGCATTGTCAACCATAAAATCAACAGTATAGACTTCCATAGGACGAATATCCTGGATGAAAAAAAAAAAAGAAAAGTTTATTAATTATACATAAGCTATTTAGAAGCATTTACTAGTTCAATTAAGTTATTTATCAATATCTTCGCTACAAAAAGAATACTAAAAATATTTTAGCAACTATCTCAGTGTGATAAAATGTAAAAAAAAAGAAAAAAAGGAAAAAAAAAGGAAAAAAAGGAAAAAAAAAAAAAAAAAAAAAAAAAAAAAAAGAAAAAAAAAAAAAGGAAAAAAAAGAAAAAAGGAAAAAAAAGGAAAAAAAGGAAAAAAAAGGAAAAAAAAAAAAGAAAAGGAAAAAAGGAAAAAAAAGAAAAAAAAGAAAAAAGGAAAAAAAAAGGAGAAAAAAGAAGAAAAAAGGAGAAAAAAGAAGAAAAAAAGAAACAAGAGAAAAAAAGAAACAAGAGAAAAAAAGAAACAAGAGAAAAAAGAAAAAAAGAAAAAAAAGAAAAAAAAAGCATTTAATAACAATCATAAGAAAGAATTGCCCAAGTAGTTTTGAGTGAACACCTTATCCATTATCAAGATCCAAAATCTAAGACTACAGACATTAACGTTTTTTTTTTTTAATTCACATTTTTAATATAGGTATTAGAGTGTTTACACATATTATAGACACCATGCACAAACCTACACATGTGAGGTTGTTCTCTGTATAGAATATTTCAACCACAAAGCCTTTTTCATGAGAACCAAAACTGAGTAAGATTTTTTTCAATCAAGGTATTGTCATTTTCAATGAAACAACTGACAATTCATCCCAGAGAAGAATTTATCTTGCATGCATGATGTGTTTGTGGAGCAACAGTTAGTGGCTCAGAAGGAGAAATCAATGAGTCAAGTTCAAATTCCAAACAAGTTCATTACATTCACTTATATTCACAGGTATACTCTTGGGAAAGGTAGAAGTCATTCCATATCAAATCAACAAGGGACTGACCATCAAAAAGAGTTTTTTTTCAAATTTGGTACACTTATAGAAATTCATAATAGAAATTGAATGGTACCTATTTTACATCTCTAGGTCAAAGGGTTCCCAAGATATGATCCTCACCATAAAGGTGAATTTTGGAAAATATTCACAAAGTTTAAATATCATTATCTTTCACCTACAAATCTAAATTATATACCATTTTAAAGTACTTGGATAGGTCTAAAAGGTGATCTATTTCTATTTTTGTTTAAAGGTCAAATAAGATAATTTGACCATGGTTTTAAACTTTGACCTTTAATTTCTACAAAAACAAATCATTAATTTTTTTTTTTTAATTTTGACAACAAATTTATCAGCTTTATGGCAAGATACGTACAAAATTTTGTGGTAGACTTTTGACTGTGGCCTGAGTTACAAGAATTTTACTGAGAGGGGATAAATTCGAAATAGCAGATTTGTGCATCTGCCCCGATATGCTAACATTTTCCCATCTCCCAATATGGTCAAGTTGTATATCTTTAGAAAGCTCTTTGAATGCCGATTAATATTCACATAACTGTGATCTTAAAATCAAAAGAATTTGTGTTATTTGTGGTTAAATGTTGACCAATTCAATTATTTTTGGTTTTGTTTACATCTTTATTATACAACAAACATATATGAAAAAGTGGCATAATGAAAATAATTATTTAAAACAGTGTCATGAATTAATGTTAAGATAATATAAAATAATATGAAAATATGAAACAAAGGATATTAACGGCTAACAAATTTTTGTTGACATGGTACACTAAATGCACAAAACAATCAAATTTATATATATATATTTAAAAAAAAAAAAAAACTGTCAGTGATGGTCAGATCCTTGTTGATTTGAGACAGAATGACTCATTTGAATCTATCTCTTCTCCCTAAATCAAGAAAAGCAATACATAAATCAGCTTAACTGATTTATTTTCTTACAGCTTTTGTAGGTTATTTAAAGCCAGAAAATATTTTTTAGACTTTTTTGGAGATAATGATTTACTGATAGAAGTCCAACTAATTAACCCATAGCTGGGAAGAGCAGAGGTAGATTCATACCTTTCTCAAGGGTATTGTGCATAATTGAACATAACAAACCCGACTGGAATCGGAACTCTGCTATCAGAATTCCAAGCCCTTACACTATCTGCACATCCAGGCTTGCAGCACTTGGTATCCCCAGGCGTTAATTCTATCAATGAACCAAAATTTGTTACTAATACATTTTTTTGTAATAACAAAAATTCAACTTTATAAAAGGTTTGATGGCCTTTCAGGGAGAGAGTTTTTTAATGTTCGATCATGTCCTTCTCCATTTGAAATACTTACCCTGCTGACAAGAGATAAGACTTTGAGCTCTTCTTGATATCTATAGACAGAAACGCTTTTCAGCAGATCCCCGGCAAGGATGATGTTCTTCAACGTGCTCAGGGAATGAATATAAATGTAGGTATCAATGAAAGCAACGCCTGACAAATCGTTGTCTTTTAACGACCAAATATACAGCTGCAAAGAAAAAGAGAAGAAATTAGTAACAGAATTATAATGAGGTGTGAAAGGTAAACCCCCAATTCCTGACCCTCAGTCATGGGAAACTAGTAATACATCCCCCTAGACAGCACAGCACTTCTACATAGAGAGTGTGGGGTAGGATCAGAAGCACATCCTAATGTCTTCAGCAATGGCTGAGAATAATCAGGCAATTTCAGGATGACTCGCGTGTTAACTGGATGGGTATATATATATATATATATATATATATATACACACACACACACACAGAGGTAGTAATCTGTTGGTATAATCCAAGCAAGTCCTATTAACACAATATAGAATTTTAAATATTAAATGTTAAATCTGATTCACAAAAAGCACTCAATGTTTATTTTCATTACAATTCACAGGTGAAAATGATCATTCATTAATGGTATCTTAATTCCAATTGTATGAAAAATATATAAATATATATATATATATATATATATATATATATATATATGGATTAATACAAATAAAATTTGTCACTTAGGCATTTTAAGTTATATTCATATTGTATATTTCGTAGACAAATTGTTCTTGTAATCCTTCAATCTTCTCATCAGGAGGTTTCAGCAATTGACCGCCGTTTTTCTCATTTTTCATTATCTTTATACTAAGTTTGAAGTAATTAATTTGTGTGTTGGTTGGAAGGTTTTATTATTGTTGTTAAACTGATTTTGTTTCCTCTTTGTGTGTGTGGTGTGTGTGTGTGTGTGTGTGTATGCGTGTATGTGCCAAATGTCGTGGTTATTTCTCTTTTTTATCATTTTCTTTTCATCTTATACTCTCTGCCTATTCCTTTTTTTTTTTTTCTCTTTTCATTCTGAGTGTCAAAGATAAACAGAGAGAAAGAAAAAGGCAGTCCTTACCTTCTGGCCTATTGCTGATAAAAGATAGCCTTCAACTTGTGCGAGAGCGGTTACTGGTCCTTTCTGTTCTTTTTCATACATCAACTGGAAAATAAAAGCAATTCAGATTTCAAAACAAGAATTGAATGCATTGAACAGGAAAGAAATAAAAAAGATTTACAAAAAGAAAGATTTAGAAAGTAAGCAACTTCAGTTCAATGAAAAGTCATACTCTTCTTCAAAATGCCATCCATCTTTTTCTCTTAAACTTTGCTCTTGGAGGCTATGCAAACTCTTAACACTCAAACAACAACAATTGTAATTCAATTGAGGGAATATCTAATTCCGACATCCTAAATAGGTTTCAATCTACTCAAGATTCAAATGTACAAGCAATACAGCTGGGTTAAAAGCAAATGATCACATATAAATCTGATAAGCCAAAGAACTGCTACTTTGTGTAATACTTTTGTGTAGATGCTTCCCTGACCATCTCAATCTTAATATCTTCAAGTTAAGGGTTAATCCTTATCTATCCTCCTTATTTTCATCATCTTCATTTTGTACCACTTTCTCTTTCATCCATGTGGTAAATTTTTCATGATAACCATTTTAACAGTAACGTTCTGCCTCGACTGGTTATTAAACCTTGTACTGGACAAAATTTAGTATTAAATAAAAAATTAAAAAAAAATCAGTACATGCACAGGTTCTAAAATAAAAACACTACTCAGATCCCATATTAGTACACTGTATACAATCCTCACTGAGAATTTTAACACCGACTTGTATTCTATTTATTTATTGTTTGTTTAGTGGTATATCAACTCCTTATAGATCATTTAACTTTTATCATTCTGCATGTGACTTCATTTGCTGTACAAAAAGTTCATCCTGTGACTGAAGGTGACTGATCGCTGAATTTGAATTTGTTTGAATTTCATAGTTGTGTTGTCATATCCTGTTATGGCAACGAAAAAGTGAAATTAACAATAAAGATACTGAAATTGAAAGGCCTTGAAAAAGAATACAGCAGAAAGAGAAGTAGTATTAATAATGCAGAGTGCTAAAAGTCACTGTCACAATTTAATTTTCTTGAGAGCAGTAATTTCTTTTACAAAAATGTATTGCTGATAATTACTATGAAAATGCATTCTTAAACTTTCATGGTGTTTTGACTCCAGTTTGGGGGGTTACTATTTGCCCATAGTTGGGACCCTAACTGGTGCTACCAACCGGATCAGGGTGGACATGGGAACAACAGCAATTAAGAGGTGGTTCTACGCTCATCAAAACCTCCAGATCAGAGGCCTTGCTGCCAGATGTAGTTTATCGTCATACCCAGGATGGGCTTGTATTCTCACATGCATACAATTATACAGGTTTAAAGTGTCATCCTACATGATTCATACATTGTTCCATGCCTTTTGCACCTGTTTTAACATGAGCCCAGGGATTTATAACACACTGCACGGCCCAATAATTAACTTGAAATTGACATACCTTAATTTTATTTTTAGTAAGAGGCTGACCTGGTTCAGGAACAACTTCAATAATGTCAAAAATGATGATCTACAAAATAAAATATTTCAGACTTTAATTTAGAGATGCCTGAAAAATAAATTAATCTAGCAATAATTAAAACACACACAGAGAAAGAATTTCATTTAATACATGTACAAATATATGTTAGTAAGTTAAATAGAATAGAATTTGAACAAAAGTGGAAAAGCATTCTTAATAACAATGCATTTGACCTTCATGCACTAGGTTAGTGCCATCAGTTGACCTATTCATTTTTTAAAGCTTATTAACCCTTTGCAAGTTATTTAAAGTCAGAAAATATTTATTAGATTGTAAGAATTTTTTTTTTGTGGGGGGGGGGGATAATAATGGTTTAGGGATACAAGTCTTATTAATTAAGCCATAGCTGGGGTGGAGGTGGATTCATACCTAATCAGAATTTGATAAACAAACAAGATAAAAACAATATGGATACAAAGTGGGGGATCAATTCTATAGTAAGCTGATCCCTCTTAGTGAGCACAGAAGTTTTTATATATTTATAGTCCAGAGAATGTAAATAAAATCTAAAAGCCATGTCTGTGAAACTAATCAAATATTTCATTGATTTATTTGTTTTCTACCGCTTATTAACCTACTGCAGGTTATTGAAAGCCAGAAAATATTCACTATTTACATTATTCAGACTATTGTCCTCATCTTTGTCACCATATTTATCACAACGTTTTGGTTGTTGTATGCTCCAGCCTTCTTCAGGTGGTTGGAATGTCGAACTGAACCTTTTATTTCGCTCACTGGGGTAGACTGTTCTAGTTCCACGTGCCATGTTTAATGGATGTCAGTTATCTCCTGCTTAATTCCCTCTCCAAGTTCTCCACCGCCTTCACCACTGTACCATGTGTCCTTCAGGACACATGGTACAATGGATAAAGGCGTTAGTTAGATCCAGTGACAGGACCCAAAGAGTGTGAGTTCAATACCTGATTAACTCCACTGATTATACAGGAACTATACCATTTCAACATAAGGCCATAAGCCTTTCTAGAATTAAGAAGTCTCCTTTTTCTCATGGATTACACCTGACAAGGACTGAAGAAGGAACTGGTTGAAATGCATTAACAAAGGCAAACATACAAAGGACAGATTTGAACATCGAAACAATGTTGGATATAAAAATGTATTCAACTATGCACATAACAGAAAAAAAAATAAGTGAACATTGAAGTCAACACCCAGAGGTGACAGTCTGTTTCATGTTAAATGCAATCGTCAGGCCTTGTGCATTGTGTTTTTGCTCGACTTTTTATATATATACAGGTCAGTGATGCATTGTGGTTAGCCTATTGTATTATTCATAGTAAAAATTTGTTTTCATGTCTGCTTGTTTTACTATGTTACTTAAAAACTGAAAACAAGAATACAGGAAAAGAAAATAAATTAATCCAAAGAAATAAATAAATCAATAATAAACAAATTAACAAACTACACCCACTAAAATAGCTTTTAGAATAATGTCCAGAAAAGAAAAATTAAACAAAAAGTTTAATCATAGTACCTCGTCAACTGTCTTCAATGAAACACGCACACTATATATATATTATATATGCAACATATCTTCATTCAAGCATGTTTGGTTGAATAATCTAGATATATGTATTTTTACTTCAATCCTCTTAAATTCTCTGATCAACTTAAAGTACCGTAGTATTTTTATTTTCTTTTATTTTCCCAAATACTTTCAATCTCATCAGAGATCATCATCAGGGGTGAATTGCTAAAACAAAAAATTAATGTAACTTGTAGTTGTGATTTTTTTGTAAATATGCATGAACAAGCTCTGTTATAATTAATTTAAAAATTAACTGTTTTCATGTTTTTGATCTAAGGGAGGTAACCTTAATTTATATAATTATAATTTTAAAAACATTGCTATTATAGGGATTTTAAAACATAGTTGCTGTACTCATAATTAACCTCGTTTAGTGTTAGTTGTATGTCCATTATACAGAGGGCCTAGAGAATTTGAAGCTTTTGTTTTTATTTCCATGGTGGTGTATATTTATATTATCAATTAATGTTTTTCTGAATTGTGAAAGTGGAAAGGAATGTCTTTAAATGTTGTGCAATAGAATGTGTATCCAACATATGTTGTATAACATCATAGCTTTAACAGTTAATTTTTTAAGTAATTATAGCAGAATGCGTTTCAAGCGTATTTACAAAAAAGAAAAGAAAAAAAATCACAACTATAAATTACATTAATTTTTTGTCTTAGCAATTAACCGCTGATGATGACCTCAGATGAGATTGAAAGTACTTGGGAAAATAAAAGAAATGAAAAAATAACATGGTGCCTTCTAATTTAATATCAACATTAAGTCAGAGAAGAATTTGAGAGGATTAAAATAAAAATAGACATATACCCAGATTATTCAACCAAACATACTTGAATATATATAATTTCTTTTTTTGCTTTTTTTTTTTTTTTTGTAACTTACCCGGCCACGAGACTGTACTTCTTCTCCAAGAGAAAAATTTGTTCCCATGGCACAATAACCTTTGAAACCAGAAATGGTTCCTTCGGATCTCAAAGACACATTAACTAAAGTTGTTACATGTTCCCATTCCAATAATTCAATCCTGAAAACAAAAGAAAGCAACTTAAGCATTTCTTTAAATCAAACTTTGAAGAAGCAAAGGAAATCAAGATGGTAATCAGCACAGAAAAAAAAAGACATGTACCAAGATTTTTAAACACACTTAGCATCAGATGCCTCAACAAAGGTCTTGACACTGGCACACCACAATTTTAAGAATTTCAGCTGAAACCATTTTCGGCACACCACTGAGACACGACTTTGCTCAAGAACTTTTAATGTGGAAATATTTGAGCAACCACTTCATTTTGGATTAAAACTACCAGTGACCTGCCAATGGTGGTTTAGCTTTTGTGTTGCTATTTAACCAAAGAAACTTTTGAGGCCTATTAAAGATGCAACTTAAAAGTTGCAATCTTCTTTTATAGTTTCCTGCAGACTTGGGAAACCAAGGATAGGTAAAGTTGCATCTTTTGGGTTGGTGGTCACAAGGAATTAGTAAAAGTCACCATAAAACCGTAGTATAGTATAACAAACTGAAGGCCAATATCTCAGGTAACTATACCCTCTTAATTATATTGGCTCATGATTTATCAATTGATTTGTTTTTTATGACTTATCAACCTTTTAAAGGTTATTTAAAGCCAGAAAATATTTTTAGATTGCACAAACCACTGCCCTGTGGAACAGACTCCCAACAGGATGTTTACCCCGATCACTACACTCTTAACCTGTTCAAGGCTAGGATTAACTTATCTTCCACTCCTATACACACAAATGGCCTCCAAATGTAACCCTCTACCTAGAGTGGCCTCCAGGCCTTGTAAAGGATGCATCTCGTTGCTTAAAAAAAAAAAAAAAAAAAAAATTTATGAGTATAAGGATTTACTAATACAAGTTTTACTAATTAACCCATAGGTGGAGGGGGAAAAATAGTGGATCCATAACTTTCCCAATGGTATTTGCAAATAATATAACGAACATGACTGGAATTGGAACTATTTTTCGATTTCCAATTCCGAGCTGTTATCTATTACACCAATCACACATCCAAGCTTACAGCACCTGGTATTCCCAAGCAGTCACCCATCTAGGTACTGAGCTGACTTGACATTGCTTAACTATGGTGATTGTACGAGAACTGGTACATACTGGCTCAGACAATGGAAACAGCAGGAAATAAATTAGTTTTACTTACTTAGTATTGGGAATGACTTCCCAACTGACTGGTGAGAACAACTGAACACTGTATTTTTCCATCACTGGATAAACAAATCGGTCATCTGAAACACAGGAAAAAAAAGAAACTGGTTATTTGTACGAGTCTAGAAATTAAGTAGATTGATATTGACTTAATTTGTAAAAAGCAACCAATTGCCCTTACAGAATCTGACCACCCCACCCCCCCGCCAAAAAAGCAAGTATTGTTTAAAAAGCTATTGTAAATTTGTTTACATTTGATTACTAGAGGGCGGAGCAGAAATGCCACCCACATACTCCTCTCACGTGATAGTAAGGCATTAGTGGTAATGGTGTCTTCATCTAGCTGGTCTTACCATTATGTGGGAGGTATTTCTGCCGCACCCTGTATAAATGTTATTTTTAATGGGTACATATGTTTGAGTTGATGTCCCTGTTTTTTGATTTTCTTAAACAGTGAAATTAATATCAACTGGCATAGATTGAGAAGTCCTACTAAAGTAAAATGTGCCTCCCTAGTTGGGTTGATATTAATTTCAGTGTTTAAGAAAATACAAAATACTTATGTCAAGTAAAACGTGTGTGCCACTAAAAATAATGCTTGTCGCAATAAGAATTTATGTCAAATTAAGAAATCCATTTAAAATAAAAATAAAAATTTACTACTTATGTGTTTAAATTTCTTTAGCATCTTTTATTAATCCAAATGGCGAAAATAAAGAAAATTTTATCTTATCTCCTTATATTTAGAAATGTATTGTGCTTGTTATGCTTTCCTCCATAAGATTATGATTATGAAATGCTGAAGACTAAATACTTAAGTCTAAAACCTGTCATAGAACAGGCATTGGATTTCGTTGGCTAAATAATATTTAAACTTTATTTTAAAGTCGAATCAGAGCGGAATCTCTTTGCTTGGCAAAGAAAGGATTGAAAAGCAACCATTTTCTGGTTTGAAGTGGAAAAAAAAAAAAGAAAAGATTCTACTCAACTCTCTTTTCCTACAAACTCTATATTTGAAGGCCACAGAATTGACCGAAACATCTTCATAACAAAAATGCAGCAGAGAAAGAAAAAAAAAAAACAAAAAAAAACGCTTGATGTGCCCAAACAACTCAGGCCAAACAAGAGAATTTTAAGGTTCCACAAGGAGTGCTTAATCTCTTCACTCTATCAGTGTTACATTTACAAAAGAGTATTCAAATAGGGTCCAAGAAAAACCTTGGCCCCAAAACAAATTCTGTCAAAGTAAAATATAGCTAAAGTTCAACTTGTAACATTAGCTAGTGCAAAAATTAAAAAGACTTTGAATATAATCTCACCCCTTTCGATGATTTCAAATTCCCGTTCATCTGCAGTGGTCTTTGGTAACTTGTTTGATGGTTCTTGCGTGCTACTGACTACGGCGTAAGTCTACAAAAGACAAGTCATCCTTAATAAATCAACAAACCTTATGCTGCCAAATACATGGAAACAATTTTATATAACTAAGATCAATCACTAGCAATTATTAATTTTCACAAGTATTTTAATATCTCAATATCTGTTTATTTTTATCGCAATTCCCTCATCATCTCTTTAACATACAGAAAATGCAGAACTCATAAAAAATAACAAAGAGCAATAAGATGAAAGAAATACTAGTCCAAAATGAATAATAATTGACAATGTTTCATCTAAGAAATTTGAATCCTATTAATACTACTAGTAATAAAGCATATTTAAGTAAGCAGGGCAGATGAGAAATAAAGAATAAGCCTCGAATAAAAAGCAAGAGAAATAAGATGAAAGAAATACTAGTGAAAAATGAATAATAATTGACAATACTTCATCTAAGAAATTTGATTCCTATTAATACTACTAGTAATAAAGCATATTTAAGTAAGCAGGGCAGATGAGAAATAAAGAATAAGCCTTGAATAAAAAGCAAGAGAAATAAGATGAAAGAAATACTGGTCCAAAATGAATAATAATTGACAATACTTCATCTAAGAAATTTGAATCCTATTAATACTACTAGTAATAAAGCATATTTAAGTAAGCAGGGCAGATGAGAAATAAAGAATAAGCCTCGAATAAAAAGCAAGAGAAATAAGATGAAAGAAATACTAGTGAAAAATGAATAATAATTGACAATACTTCATCTAAGAAATTTGATTCCTATTAATACTACTAGTAATAAAGCATATTTAAGTAAGCAGGGCAGATGAGAAATAAAGAATGCCTCGAATAAAAAGCAAGAGAAATAAGATGAAAGAAATACTAGTCCAAAATGAATAATAATTGACAATGCTTCATCTAAGAAATTTGAATCCTATTAATACTACTAGTAATAAAAGCATATTTAAGTAAGCAGGGCAGATGAGAAATAAAGAATAAAGCCTCGAATAAAAAAGCAAGAGAAATAAGATGAAAGAAATACTAGTGAAAAATGAATAATAATTGACAATACTTCATCTAAGAAATTTGATTCCTATTAATACTACTAGTAATAAAGCATTTTTAAGTAAGCAGGGCAGATGAGAAATAAAGAATAAGCCTTGAATAAAAAGCAAGAGAAATAAGATGAAAGAAATACTAGTCCAAAATGAATAATAATTGACAATACTTCATCTAAGAAATTTGAATCCTATTAATACTACTAGTAATAAAGCATATTTAAGTAAGCAGGGCAGATGAGAAATAAAGAATAAGCCTCGAATAAAAAGCAAGAGAAATAAGATGAAAGAAATACTAGTGAAAAATGAATAATAATTGACAATACTTCATCTAAGAAATTTGATTCCTATTAATACTACTAGTAATAAAGCATATTTAAGTAAGCAGGGCAGATGAGAAATAAAGAATAAGCCTCGAATAAAAAGCAAGAGAAATAAGATGAAAGAAATACTAGTCCAAAATGAATAATAATTGACAATGCTTCATCTAAGAAATTTGAATCCTATTAATACTACTAGTAATAAAGCATATTTAAGTAAAGCAGGGCAGATGAGAAATCCAAAAAGAATAAGCCTATTAATACTACTAGAATAAAAAGGGCAGAGAAATAAGATAAAAAAAAAAGAAATACTAGTGAAAAATGAATAATAATTGACAATACTTCATCTAAGAAATTTGATTCCTATTAATACTACTAGTAATAAAGCATATTTAAGTAAGCAGGGCAGATGAGAAATAAAGAATAAGCCTTGAATAAAAAGCAAGAGAAATAAGATGAAAGAAATACTGGTCCAAAATGAATAATAATTGACAATACTTCATCTAAGAAATTTGAATCCTATTAATACTACTAGTAATAAAGCATATTTAAGTAAGCAGGTCAGATGAGAAATAAAGAATAAGCCTCGAATAAAAAGCAAGAGAAATAAGATGAAAGAAATAATTGTTAAAAATGAATACTTGATAATGTTTCATCTAAAAAGTTCAAGTACTACTATATCAAATACTACTAGTGTAACGTAACAACAATATAGTTTGTTGTGCATTGTCATCTGGAGCAGTAAAAAGTATAGATATACGAATAGTTTCAGAGGATTATCATTGGTTGGTCTTCACAACCAAAATTGGAAAAAAAAGGATGGGAGTTCAAATCTCCACAAAAGGTTCATTGCTTATTTCCAATTCAAAACTACCTAAAGACTATTAAATGATTATGAGCTGGAAATTGCAATCGAAAACAGAAATTAAGAGGAAAGTAATAGCTTAATCATCATCATTCCATCGACTGCTTTGATCCTGGGAGTTGGACTGAGTGGGTCAATAGAAATAGATAACCTCCTCCAGTCTGATCTGTTGCCAGTGGCTCTCAGGAGATCCAGCACTGTCACATCCGTCCACTCTTTCTCTGAAAGCATATAGGGCACGAACGTTTCATATTTCGATGGTTGTTCTCTGTGTTTGTAGCTTGATGGAGTTTGTCGCTAGAGTTGCCCACTTATCACACCCATCATGGCGCAAGTCAATGGGATGCACAGCCATTGTTGATCTGAATCTTGACCAATCCGGCATGATATTGCTTTGATTCTTCATTACCCTGATCCTTTCAGTGGGCTTTCAGACTGCTTGGTGGCGCATCAACCTTCTCTCGAAGAATAACCTAATAGGCCATGCTAACCGATTCTTAATAGCTTTTATACCATTAACAAAATTACTGAACAATCACTTTACCAAAACTATTTCCTATCAACTAGTAGGAGGTACATATAACTACTATGCAATTTATTAGTCACAGATATTCAGCAAAGGGACTGTTTCACATGTGATCTTTAAAGAGTGAAGATTTTCCATTCAGATATCTTAAGAAAGCATCTTCCTATTCTGTTACAAATCAAGTAGCAAAATTTATAATTATTTACATTATTCAGACTATTGTCCTCATCTTTGTCGCCATATTTATTACAACGTTTCGGCTGTTGTACGCTCCGGCCTTCTTCAGGTGGTTGGAAATTCGAACTGAACCCTTTATTTCGCTCACTGGGGTAGACTGTTCTAGTTCCACATGCCATGTTTTAATGGATGTCAGTTATCAGTTATCTCCTGTTAATTTCCCTAAGTGACAGGACCCAAAGAGTGTGAGTTCAATACCCGGTTAAGACAGTGGAGAACTTTCAGAGGGAATTTAACAGGAGATAACTGATAACTGACATCCATTAAAAACATGGCACGTGGAACTAGAACACAGTCTACCCCAGTGAGCAAAATAATGGGTTCAGTTAGAACATTCCAACCACCTGAAGAAGGTGAGCATACAACGGCTGAAACGTTTAATAAATATGGCGATAAAGATGAGGACAATAGTCCGATAAAAGTAAATAATGTACATAATACCTCATCTCAGAAATATAGACAAAACTTATAATATCTAACTTGTATAAGAGGGCAGCGTTGAAAAGATCTCACCCTGACCCATTTCTCAAAATCAATATTCTGATGTTTAGTCATTTAAGAACTGATTTTTAAAATTGGGTTGGACCAAGAACTTTTCAGCACCCCCTCGTGCAATTTATTAAGCACATGTATCCAACATGGAGAATTCAAAGAGGGAAGAGGTTTGATGCAGTGATCTTGTAGCAATATCAGTAAAAATGAAAAAATAATTTAACTTACAGACCACGACAGCTATTAGGGAGATGTGATTAAATATACTTTAATGTTTTAGAAAAACTTATTCAGTATTATTATTGTTTAAGTAATAAGCATTATAACATAGCACAAATAGCTATATGGTGGGAAAAGGAATTTTCAACAATATTTACATCTTTTAGGTATTTATGGTTATTTTTTAACTTTTATCAAAAACGACATTCTTGTACATGTAGTTATGGATAATATTACACAATAATTACTAATTTTTTTAATTAATAACTATTTGTGCTCAGCTGACATTAATCTGAACACATCTGCTGATGTGTTCAAATTCTGGAATAATTCAAATATAAAAATTTAAAATTTCATCTTTCCTATAGATGTCACGATTGGGTCAACAAATATCTATACTAAATGATTAAATAAGTCAACACTGTAAAAAAAGCAAGCAAGATTCGGCATCACCATTTTGACTGTAGTGCTTTACCTTGAGTGACTCTCGAGCCTTGTATTGGGTGTAATTTAGTAAAAAAAAAAAAAAAAAAACTTACCTTGCTTTCTGGGTGATATATAACAAAATAGGGAGTGGCGCGTAAAGGCACTTTTCGCACTGGCCAGGGGGAATCATAGGTTAAATGAGTTGGCAAAACACAAATACGAAGTTCACCCTGTTGAATAAAGAATATTTATAAAGGTATACTGAGTAAAATTGACTGAATGTTGTGTTAATTAAAACTAAAGTCTTTAATTAAAATTCTATATCAACCATTTCTCCACTTCTCTCTGCAGTTAACAGCCCATTGGAAAACTCTTTCGGATTAAGTATGTACAGTGTGCTTTAAGCAGTTACAGGCAAGTTGAAACATTGAAAATTAATCAAGGATTAACATGACTGAATTTGTAATCAGAGCACTGTCAGTGGTGACTGATGAAAAAATATAACAATTTTCTGGTGGCAGGAAAGGGAGCTATAAAGTAACAGTATAACAATTTTCTGGTGGCAGGAAAGGGAGCTATAAAGTAACAGTATAATGATTTCTGGTGGCAGGAAAGGGAGCTATAAAGTAACAGTATAATGATTTCTGGTGGCAGGAAAGGGAGCTATAAAGTAACAGTTTGGGAGAAAACATTTTCCTCCCACAAGCAATGAGTTAAAGATTTTTTTTTTCTTTCCTGCCTTGAATCATCTTAGACTGGTTCCGCAGAGAAAGTCCTACCTGTAGAATTGTACAAGAGGCTTTGTTGTTCTTTGATATTACTGTTTTTCTTTTTCTTTGGTCCTCTCATCCACACAGTGTTTGTTGAATAATGCCTTACTTTGTAGGTCTTTTTTTAAAAGCTTTGGCTATGTCAGAGACAAAGAACAAATACCCTGACGAGATAAAATATGACTACATACCTAATAAGGTGTTGGCTCTATATACGCTAAGAACAGCCCTAACTGACGAGGCTTGAGTCTACAATTCTTTTACGTGCTGAAAATTTTTGTCATGTTCCAGAAACCATTCCCATACCATTCCTGCAGTATAGCCGGGCACTGTTGTAAGATTCTACAATGTTCAGGTAGTAGGAATCAACACTTTTGATATGAGTGTCCCCCCGACAAAAATGACATTATTTTGTAGCCTAATAACATAACCAATTCTCACTGAAATGATCTCAAATTTTAAGAAAATATTTAAAAACCTAACTAAGCTGACTGTGCAGACTTCTCTCTCAATAAGAATCTACCAAGAAGCTGGATCTTAATAGATTAAGAAGGATTGGGCATGCTAGTAATAATGACAATGTGCTGTTGAAATGGCCACCACATTCACCATACCTCACACCTTGTGATTTTTTCTATGGGGTCATGTGAAAGGACACATCTATATCCCCCAATCTTCCTATGAGCCTACAGGAACTTATAAATATGAAATGCATTCAGGTTAAAAAAAAAAAAAAAAAAAATGACAAGCAACTTTTTATTATTCTATTATAATTGTGCTTGTACTTCCCAATACCTCACAAATAATAGACTATTCTGTTTTGATCGCATGGAAAGAGGGGGGGAGACACTATTTGGTTTCAGTGAGAAAATAAAAGAAAGGGAAGATAAAAATTTTTAACGTCTGTCTCAGTGAAATGGAAAAGTTGTCAATTTCACTTAAAATAACGACAAGCAATCATATTTTTGATTTTTATTGCAATATTTTGTTAAAGTCTTTAAGCTCAAATATCGAATGATGTGATAGGGGAACTCGCCATGGTCTTACTCAATTATTAACTCAGGAATTAAGATTCATCAGAAAATACAATTAGGAAAACTGAAATTTTCACAGGTCTTTCTAGTATTTCATAATGAAAATTTTCTGATTGACGTTCATAGGAGTCAAACTAACACCAAAAATAGCAAGGCCTCCTCATTTTACAGTTAAAATTGCTAGATGTAATGGTAAGTTCTATGTTAAGAGTTTCTTCCCTTGCACTTATCGTTTATGGAACTCTTCAGGTTTATTGTTTCCCAGTCAAGTTTGATCTTAAAAATTTTAAATGCAATATCAGTTGTTATCTACTGTCTTCTTGTTGTTTTATTGTTCTCTCTCCTTAATAGGTTTTTTTTTCCTTATATTCTTTAATGCTCAATAACCCCTTGCATGGAATGAAATGATTAAAATGATAATAAAGTTCTCAGCAGTATCTCTTGATAGACGGGACATGACCTGGAGATCACTACATTGTAGGTAAAGAAGTTAAGAAGATTGAATTATTCAGGGTTGGGTAAGGGAAGATGTTGAGAGAATGTGGAATATACATGCCAAAGTGTGCCAATTGTCAGTGGAGCAATTGGGTCAATTCCAAAGAATACCCAGAAACACCTTGATACCATCAGAATCACATCCAGCATAACAATGTTGCGAAAACAAGAATCTTAGGTACAGCAAATATTCTGCAGAAAGTGACCTCTCAAGACTTGACAGACTCGCTTATTTCAAGTGTTTGAAACAATCACTGTGAAAATTTCAATAATATAAAAATAATTTTGTAATAATAATAATAATAATAAGTTCTGAATAAAAATTTCAGTAATAGTAACATAAAAATATATAATATAAAATAATAATAATATAAAAAAATAATTTTGTAATAATAATAATTTCTGAATAAAAATTTTTAGTAACATAAAAATATATGATTATATAAAAATCATAAGGATATAAAAAAAAATTTTCTAATAATAATTTCTAAATCTGAATTGCCGGGATAATAATAAGCTCTTATCTACATAGGGACTATTGTCATCTTTGTTGTTGTTATGCTTCGGTTGTTGCACCCTCAAGCCTATATCAGGTTATAGTTAATCTAATTAAGCTTCACTTCAAAGAATTTCAAACTGAACCCTTTATTTAATCTACAGGTGTAGATTGTTCTCATTCTGTGGGAAAATAGGCCAGGGGATTAAATATATGGTTCTTGAATTGAGAGTTCAATCCCTGGAACAGGCAGTACAGATAAGTCTTGGTGGAAATGGGGCGAGCAATAACTGAGCAGTACTGAATAAGAACAAGATATTCCCAGATAGGACAGTGCAATGAGAACAATCTATTCCTGTTACCTAGATTAAGAAGCACCTGATGAAGGCCAGAGGGAACAATGGCTGAAACGTCCTGATAACAGCAGCAAAGACAATAAAGAAAATAATGTAAATAATTATTTCTAATTTCTTTATACATTTTGATTGTTAATAAAATATTTTAGCCAATTCATTCTCCAACCTTCTAAATGTGCATAATATTTGCAGAAAGGAGGTTGTGGAGGGTTTTTCTTTTTTTGGAGGGGGTGGGGTATTGCAAACTGGCCAAAATATTACAAAAAGTAAGTAACAAAAGAAACAAGACCAAGATCAATCATCCAACCAACATATAAAAGTATGATCAGTCAGTTATGTGCCAGGCATGATACACACTTAGGCGATCATGTATCTTTTGCTACATGACTGATGGGGCAGACCCCCACCTCCCGCAGTAAGTTGCCATTTCCTTCTGTGGTAAACCAGTTGCCATCCAAGGCTTTAAAAGTCAGTCTGTCCTTTTTACCCATAGCTGGGGGGAGAAGAGGATGATTCATATCTTTCCCAACCAAGGGTATTAGCACGTAAGTCAAGGGTCGGCAACTTACGGCCTGCGAAGGCATTTTGACCGGCCTGCAAGCCTGATTACCAATGACTATTTTTAACATGAGAGACGAGGCTTTCGAATTAGACTATCTGCCAGTTATCTTTCATGAGACTTATTTTACAAAGTTGCGTTGCCTACGTTTAATCTCAAATAATGGATACATATTTGTTATGACCCTTGGCTACATTAAAAGATAACAGAAGCGAAAGGAATGATAAAGTGAAAGAGGCCAGGGAGAGACTAACATGGAAGGTAGCAGAAATCTAAAGACAGTTAAACATACGCGCATTATACATACATGCCTAATGAATGTGTGGATGATACCGCATGTGTACATACGTAAGTGTATATGTTTGCAACTATTTGTACTCGTATGTATGGGTATATGTACTTCATTTTTGTTTGATGTGTGTGTATGGTTCGTTTGTGGAACAATTTTCAATAACAATTTCAAACCTACATGTCATAATTTCATCCATTTCACTTCAGTTGATTTTTTTCACTTTGAAATATTTTGATGTTCCTTGAGGAAAAGTAATTTTTGTTAGGTGTGTTTTAATTTTAGATTTTCAAGCTGCTATCCATTACTCCACTCCAAACGTAGGATAATGATATAAAAAAAATAATTTTGTAATGGTAATTTCTAAATCCAAATTTCTGGGATAAGTCATTATTTACGTAGGGACTATTGTCATCTTTGTTCATCAAGTCTTCATCAGGTGCTTGTCAATCTGGTTAACCTTCAGAGAACTCCAATGGGATAACATCTCTCAAAATTAAAGACTACATAAAAATCAGCTTTACTTACAAGTTTATTAAAGTAGAGAAATCCTTTGGGGCAGTTTATATTATGGAAAGGAGCAAAACATGTGATAGGACCATCGATGCTCATTGGATGAATCCGTAAAGATCCTCGAGCAGTCATGATGATCCAGTGAGGATAAGCACCACATATGAACACCTAAAATGACAGCAAATGAAAAAAAATAGATTCAACAAGAACATGAATTTTAATATTTCAAAATGAAGAATTGCCCACCATTATCTGTTTTTTATCGCAATTCCTCAAATCATCATTTTTAGTACATATCAATCACACAGAAACCATTTTAGAAAACGGTAACTGAAATGCAACAAGTGGTCATGGACCTAGAGTAGGAAGCTATTTCAATATATGGCAACTTCTGAATTTAGATGGAGATTTTTTTTCCTCAACAAAAGTTGGAAACCTGTGCATCAGCAAAATTTGGCTGAATATATATATATATATATATATATATATATATATAAATAAATTACGCATTAAAAATAGATCTTAATTACCATTAAAAAAAATTACCCATTAAAAATATATTAATTACCAATTTTAAAAAAATGATAATCATAGGTCCTTAAAAATTAACAGTGATTTGTTTGAAGACCTTTCAAGTCGACAGTTTACAAAAAGAAAGAAAAGTGGGTAAATAGCCAAGAACTAACCCCGGAATAACCAGAGATGTCTTCAAAATATCGCATCAGGCAGACGTGGTTCTCCTGCAAGATGCCAGTATCATCGGGTACATCGATGCCTTTCTTGCGAGCACGTGAGAGTCGCTTTTCTCTTAGAATCAGGTTGTGCTGGATTTTCTTGAAACGAATTTTCAAGTGGTTATCAATTTGGGTTTGATAAAAGGGGAAGGCTTCATAGATTAATAAATCTTCATCCACACGAGCCTGGAAAAGAAAACAAAAGAACAATAAATCCCCACTGATGAAGAAGGTTGGTGTTCAAGCACAGGTCAAAGCAAGGAATTCAAAATCAATTTTTATTTCTTTTATATTAACAACATCATGACACCTTCAATAAGCCCTACTCTTTAGACCCAATATGTTTGTAAAAACAATTTTTTTCATGGTGGGTAAGGACAAAAGTGATCTGAAATTATCACATAGCAAGCAAACAACATATTATTATATCAAATATGTAACAGCAAAAAAAAAAAAAAAACTGACCAGGAGATGGGGTCTGGAACGGCGGCAACCCAGTCCCACTAACAACAACTCCTTGATTGCTGGCATATCTCCAATTACTTTTTCTTGACGATCACTACTTGTACTAGTGTTGCTGGAAGAGAAGAAAAGATAGAGTAAAATGAATTAACGTGGAGTTATCAAAATTCAGCAAATATTTAGCTATACATTTTTTTCAGTTTAACAGACATTATTTCAACAGAACATGGAAGTTAGAGACCACTGGCTGAAGACAGCAACAACACTGCCAACTGATTGAAGTGTTGTCAATCAGCTGAATTTTGTTTATCAAACAAAATTCTAATATTTTTCTTTATTTTTTTTTTAACCATTTCTCTCTAAGCAAGGTGAAAATGCTATCAAGTCACAAGGGCCCATTGGGAGTGAAAGAAAATGAGAAGATTTTAGTGAAAAGAAAGGCCAATAAAAGAACAGGGTTCAGGAAAGGAGGAAATAGCAATTAATGTTGCATTTAAATTTATGAAGATGGTAGATGGCAGGGAAGCCAGAGTTCAGAAGAGAGTTCCACATGCAAGAAAAGAAACTATTAGAACAATACATACATCTAGCTAGTTCAACAGTAAAATGATGAAGCCTCGTTGTCAAGGCACCAAGTAAGAAACTTCATCAAAACAAATGCAATGAAAATATTTAGAAAAGACAGAGGGAATCCACATCATGTCAGTGGAAAAGTGACTGAAGTCGAGATGCCAAGTCAGGACTAATAACATTACAGACTCTTCTTTGGATTTTGTCAAGAATATCTGGATATATAGCAGGAGCACCAGACCAGATATGGCAGCCTTATTCAATGCACGGACAAATGGTAGTTTTATATGTGCAAGATGGATTCTTACAAGAAAAATTAACTGGCATGACACAGTAAACCAACTATCCTAGCAATAGACCTAGCAATTGATTCAATATAATCATTCCTCTTTATGTCGGTAGAAAACATGAGGCCAAGAAGGCACAAAGTGTCACCCTCCTGGAGTTTAGCATCAGCCATATTGATGGCAGGCAAAAAAAAGTTCTCTATGGTGATTAAATGAAAGCAGTTTTATTTTGGAGGTGTTAAAATTTATAATCCATTCCTTGCCCCAGTTAACAACTGATTGGAGGTCATTTTCAAAGACAGCTACCAGTTTTAATTTGTCATACCTATTGAATGTACTATTAAAACAAGAGTAAATAGTTGCATCATCAGCATGTTGTGAAGTGGTTGCAGGAATTCTTTAACAAATTCCTTTATGTTAGTTTTCAAAATCAATCATTTCAAGAGGAAAAAATACTGAATCATATACTGCAATTAACCCATAACTGCAGGAGAAAAGATGGATTCATAAACTGTTAGCTAGAATGTGCAGGTGGAGTAATGGATAATGACTTGGAATTGTTAATTGGAGAACCGAGTTCCAATTTCAGTTGGGTCCGTTATATTCATTTACATGCAAATACTCTTGGGAAAGATATTAATCCTACTCTTCTCTCCGCCAGCTATGGGTTAATTAGTAAGATTTGTTTCACTAAATCATTATCTAAAAAAACAAAAAAAAAAAAAAAGAAAACATTCTTACAACCTAAAAAATATCTTCTGGCCTTAAATAACCTGCAAAGGGTTGATAAGCTGTAGAAAATGAAATCAATCAATGAAATACTGATTAGCTACACAGGCATGTCTTTTAGATTTATTTACATTCTCTGGAACATAAATGTATAGAAACTACAGTAGCCACAAAGTGAGGGATCAGTTTATATATTGTCATAATATAGAATTGATCCCCCATTTAATATCCAGATTATAATTTCTGGTTTATCAAATTCTGATCAGGTATGAATCAACTTCTCTCCTAACTATAGGTTAATTAGTAAGACTTGATTTACTAAACCATTATTATCTAAAAAAAAAAATCATAGAGCCTAAAATTACTTTCTGATTTTAAAAAACCTGCAAAGTATTGATAAGTCATAGAAAACAAATCAATCAATGAAATACTGATTAGCTACACAGGCCTGTCTTTTAGATTGGGTTCATTATATTCACTGACATGTAAATACCCTTGGGAAAGGTATGAATTCACCTCTTCTCCCCTCTAACTCTAGCTTAATTATCAAGAGGTGTCTCACTAAACCATTATCTCCAAAAAGAAAAAAAAAAAATTCTTTGAATTTAAAAATATTTCCCGACTTTAAATAAATTGCAAAGGGTTAATAAGCCAGAGAGAATGAATCAATCATTCAAAAATTAATAATGATTAACAGTGCTTTAAAAAAAACTTCAAGATTAATATTAAACAGTTATAAGGTTCGGGCTGTGTCTCTCCTAGCAGAATGCTGATAGAGACAAGAAATCAACAGTGTGGATGGGGGAGTGTGGTTTGGGGTTAACATATCAACAGGCACACTCAACCATGACAAATGAATCCATATGCTGACAAAGAACTAGAAATGAACAGGAAAACATTTTGAGAAAGAAAATAAGACTCATTACCCAAGTTTCATGGATGATTCCGTCATCTGGATGCTGTCCACTAACACTTTCTGTCCCATTGGGAAATTTTTCACATAGTATGTCATTCGGAAATCAGGAAGAGTGTAGATCTGAAACAAATCACAAAGAAGATCTGATAGCAAAAGAAAATGTGTTTGAATTCTAAAATATTTGATATTATTTATATTTGACTCATCTTCTTGCTTTTTCTTACTGATTTCAAGAATAAATACTTTATACTGCTAAAGAAGCTTTAGTAATTTGGGACAAGTCTTTTCTAAATCTTATGGTCAATTTTTTTCACAACTTCTCAAGTCAAATACTCTCCGGCCATTAAAGTGAATAGCGTCAAGTAAGATTAAAGTACCATATTTTCTCGAAAATAATACGCACCCCAACAAATGATCCAAAAAATTAAGAAATACATCTATTCCTATATATAATACACATCAATAAATTTTGTCAAGAAAAAAAAAAATAAATAAATAAAAATAATTACAAAGACATTTTGTCAACCTTGACATTAGGAATAAAATCGAAACTAAGTGGCTAAAATAATCTTGAAAATTACCATGCAGTTTTCTCAATAAATATAACATTTTACCGTCAAAATGTATGACTTATAGTGCAAATTTTAAACTGAAAGTAATAGAATTAGCAGAAACATTAGGAAACAGAGCTGCAGCTAGAGAATATGAGTTGAATGAGGCTAACATATGTTTATGGAGAAAGAATAAAAATGAACTAAAAAAAGTGTAAATCAATTTTAGAACAAGTATGTATTTATTATTATAAATCAATAACTAAAAAAAATATTTTTGTTTAAACCTATTTATAATATGCACCCCTACTATCACCTGTAATTTACAGTAAAAAAAAAAAAAATGCGCATTATTTTCAAGAAATTACGATATGTTTGTTCATTTTCGGTTAATTTTTTCTTCATCTTATTGTTGCCTTTTATCACAACTTCCTAAGTCAACTACTCTCCAACCATTAAAGTAAACACCACCACACATACACACTCTTTCCTGACAAATGGCTCAGAAGATATCTTTCAGGTTTTTTTAGGTAAAGTTGACATTCTGGTAGGCAAATATTTATGCAGACATCGTAGGCTATCAGGACTTGTACGCTAGCCTAAAAACATGATATTGCAATATGAAAGAATATAAATATTAAATATAAATGGGGTAGTGCTTTATGCCATCAAATACAATAGTTATTAGTTGAATCTGGATTCCAAATTTGCACTAAATAATGTTTGACATGCAGGTAGCATGTAATGGTTATCAGCATGTAAAGTGGAATCAGCAAGCCAAGTTCAAGTCCAGGCCGAGTCAGCTGCATTCACTTTTACACTAATGACCTTGGGAAAGGCAAATATCTATTTCTTCTTTCCCCAGCGATGTAGCAACAGGAGTCAGCTGAGGCCTTGTTAAATTGAAAACAGCAGGACCTGTTGCAAAACTGGATACAAAACTTTTACTTTCAACAAATGGTTATTGGTAAGTGGAGTCAACTTCAAAGTACAGAGCAAGAGGCTCAGATGGAGAGAAAGTCATGGAATGAAGATAAATTACTTTTTTTTTTTAGACAAATAAAATTGAAATCTATAAAACTAACCATCCCACGAAGACGCACACAGAAGGAACAAAGCAGGCCTCACAGAATGGACAGGGAAGACAGCCTCTGAACTGTGCACCTTCACCCTACCTTCGCTCGCTTATACAACACAAGAATAAAATATGGTTTACTCCTAGAAATTGTTTTGTTTTTCACCCATGGATAATGATTTGGCCAAAGGGTAACTTAAGCCACAAGCATTTGACTGGAAGAAACTATATCCTGTTAATGAACCTGGTATTTGGTCTAAGCTGCAATGCAACATCATGGGTAAAATAACAGAGCAGACAGTAATCTCTGGCCCTGGCTGGAACTTGGTCTAGGAGAATGGTAACACTGAATTCAAAACCATACAGAAAGTTTCAGGACACCACAAGAGCTCTTTATTTATAGAGTCAATAGCGGATTACATAGCAGTGACCATTTCCTCTCCAATAACCTGCAATGAGGCTGTATCAGGTTACATGAAGGTTTACGCCTCTCCCTAGAATACTGAAGGTGGAATTTGAACTCTGCTCTCTAATTCTATTTTTAATTCTGTTAACTGTTGGGCCAACCTTGAACTTCCTTAATAATAATGAAAAATAATAATAAAATATGAAAAGTTCTCATAATTCAATGGTGATTACTGTACATACTTCTAGGACGCCATTCTCACGACATATGATAGCCCAAAATGTAGCCTTGATTTCTCTTTTGTGTTGAGCTTCAGACAGACTGAAAGAGAAAAAAAAAAAAAAAAAAAAACAATGAAAGATGATTAAGAAGTGATAATGAGTTATAAATTCTCCCAAATTGAAAAATGGCTAAATATACAGGGTGCGATGGGTAAATTGTCACCATTTGATATTTTTAATTTCATGCATGCACATTGTTCATTTTTGTTGACTGCACAGTGTAGAGTCAGTTAGACACAATCTGTGAGATTGTAAAATCAATGTCATCCAATTTGATCAATCAATGAGCTTTCATTTTTATTGCACAATCAGATAGGATTCAGCTGTAATTAGAATTATGATTTAGCTATGAATTATAGTGAAAAGAATATGTCTGGTATGACTCAATAATACTGGTTGCAAAGTCTCCCAGAAAATCATCTAAAGCAATACAAATGGATTTACCAAAAGATGGTCACCTACCCAGACAAAAGATAATTCACAAGAGGTTATTCTGTGACAATTTAAAGTCTTATAAGACTGCCAAAAGCCTAAATTGTCAAAGAACAGTAGTGATTCATCTATTCTGGCCAATACTATATATATATATATATATATATATATATATGTGTGTGTGTGTGCATGAAAAAAATATAGTTTTGAGGTATGCTATATTTATGGGTTCAAGTGCTCACTATCAGGGATGGAGCATTGAGAGCAGCAACAGTGTTTGATGGCCTGAATATTGCATTTAAGCATGAAACAGACTGTCACCACTGGGTATTTATCTCAGTGTCTTGAGATATATATATATATATACATACACAGTCTTATTTAAAAAAGAAAAAGAAAAAACAGATTAAAATAATCCTTTCAATTCTGTATAATAAATTTTCTGGAATTTAAATCAGGTGAGATATTAAAAATAATTTACCTTGGTTTTGGCAAAGGCTTTGAACTGGGATTTGCAGATTTATTAAATACAGATTCTGAATCTCCATACAGTAGTTCGTCTTCATCATCAGCAAAACTGTCAAGAAAGCAAAAAGAATCATCACCAATGGAATCACTTACAAAATAAAGAAATAAAAAAAAATTGCACAATGAAATGTTTTGGCTTTCGGTTTCAGATGAAGAAAAAATATTCCAAGAACTGATTTTAAACAAGAAAAAAAAAATTCTTTACAATTTACAAATCTACTTCATTAATAGACTAAAGTGATGTTCACATTGAAGTATTTACACAGGACCACAAAGACAAGAGGAATCTGAAATCAAGTGTAAACAAATCAATGTAAACATATTAATCCAGCAATTTCCAAACTTTTCTCTGGGGAGCATTTTCTGAATAAGAATTTGATAGCACCTCACCAAATTTCATGTGATAAAAAGTACATTTAAAAATAAAAGGTTAAAAGGTTAATAACCACGGATTCAAAGTCAGAACATTATCATTGATAACTCTTCCTTCCAATTTGCAGACCCTAGTTACTATGTTCTTAATACTTGATATAATGCAAAATTATCACAATGATAAAATCGGTTTATATCTATTTATACTATGATTCATGCATGCAATTACAAGTAATCCATAATAATATTTTAAATTTTTAAAATATTTATTTTTGGCAGATGAATTTTTCAAAACTGTTTCTAATTCTTTGATTGTCTTTCAATCATTCTGCCTCACCTGCTATCCTCTTCCACCGCACCATTTGGGAACCACTTGTCTAGTTGAAAGTAATTTTTGTTTTTATTGATGCATTTTTCATGTGATAAAAAGTGATGAAATTTTATGTGATAAAAAGTACATTTAAAAAAAAAAAAATAAAAAAAAAAATAAGAGAGGGTTAACAGGAGATAACCACAGATTCAAAGTCAGAATATTATCGTTGATAACTCTCTCCTCCAATTTTAAACCAATTCATTTATTTCTCCCATTGGGGTAGAGTATTCTAATTCCAATTGCCATGCCTTTTCTGGATATTTCAGTTATTTCTCTTTAATAATTCAACTCTCCAAGTTTTTGTTCACCTCTGCTGTGGCCCGGTATTCAAAGTTCCAATGTATATCACCGGAAGAAGGCCGAAGCATACTACGGCCAAACATTGTGAATATGACAATAAAGATGAGGACAACAGTCCGAACAATGTAAATAGTGTAAATAGCTACAATACCTCATCTCAGAAATATAAACAGATATTGATATCATTTTGCAGGCTGCTATGGTTTTTCCTTTTTTGGGTTGTATTTGGACTAAATACCAGTGAAATCAGATGGTGGCTTAGCCATTTTGCAGGTATTTGAACAATGAGATACTCATGAAGTCAATTTAGGTCACAACTTCAGGAAATTTAAAAGTTACAACCTCAATCTGAAAGATTCTTTAAGAACTTCCGAGAACACAAAGAGAAAAGCTAAGGTTGTAATCATTTTTTTTTTTTCATGGCACGCGTTATTCAACCTTGCCTTGTTAGTTTCTCATCTTCACAAGTGAACCATCCGATCATTCTATCAGCCTATTAGCCCCTTCTTCGTAAAGTATTAGAAGCTCTAATCAACTCTTTATTGGTTAAGTATTTCACCTCACAGGGTTTTCTTTCAGATAAGCAATATGGCTTTCGCTTCTCTAGGTCAACTGCTGATGTGTTATTATTGCTGAAAGAGTTTACCTTCTTTAGATAAGAATGTTGAAGCTTGGGTTGTTGCTTTCAACATCTTGAAGGCATTTGACAGGGTCTGACATACTGTTCTTCTTCACAAGTTGAAAGGCAATGGTATTTCTGGATAAATTTTTGAACTGATTCAGCCTTTCTTATTGAAGCTTGAAATGAAAGTTGTCTTGAATGACCGCTATTCTAGATCTTTTTGTATTAATGCAGGAATTCCCCAGAGTTCTATCCTTAGACCTATGCTGTTCCTAATTTTCATCAATGACCTTCTTGATGGCACCAGTTCTCAACCCAGTATCTATGCTGATGACAAAACCATTTATTATTGTCTTGATAGTAAGTCCAAGCAGTTCAATAGGGTTAAATTGGCAGCTGATCTCAAAAATGATCTACATTGTTATCCGGGGCAAGGAATGGCTTCTTAATTTTAATGCCTCTAAAAAGAAACTGCTCTCTTTAATCTTTGCATCTTCTCAGACTAACATTTTCTGCTAACATAAAGTGGAAAGATTATAATGAATCAATTGCTAGGTCTGCAGCAAGGAAAGTCGGATTCCCCCGTGTTGTGCTAAACAATTTTTCTTGCCAGAATCTATCTTACGTATTTATGTCTACCATTCATCCTTGCTTTGAATATTGCTGCTATATCTGGTCAGGTCCTCCTGCTACATATTTAGAGGCAATTGATAAAATTCAAAGAGTCAGCAATGTTACTGGTCCTGACTTGGCATCTCAGCTTCAATCGTTTTCCCACCACAGTAACGTGGCTTCCCTGCACCTTTCCTATATAGTACCTAGACTTTATCAATTTAAGTGCAGTACCTGATTGGCTGCAAGGCCTCGTCATTTTACAGTTAAAATGGCTCGATATAACTATAAATTCTATGCAAACAGTTTCTTCTGTCACACTTATTGCTTGTGGAACTTTTCCAGTTCCATGCCTTCCAGCCAACGTCCATCTTCTGTTTTTATTTTATTTTCTTTTATTATTCTCTAACACTCAGTAACCTCTTGTGTCATAGTGACTTTATTGCCTTGCTTGGGGTGAAATGATGTAAAAGAAAAAAAAACATAGTAGAAACTCCACATAACTGCCTTTTTTATCTTTACCATAGGTTGATGGTGACAGGGAGGTAGCAAAAGTCACAACGATGTGAAGATGCAGTTTTAATTCAACTGAAGAATCATACTGTGCTCTCACCTGTTGGGCAAACCAGAAGATAATCGTTCTTCATGGACTTTGGATAATCTGTTGAAATCAGACGGGTTTGGATTGTAGGTTTCTGATTTGACTGGTGCTGTAGAAAACAAACCACTGAGATCTTTGTAAACACACATGCTGATTATTTTGTTTTTCTGAAATATAAGAAAAACAAGTGTTTGAAGAAAAATAAACACAGTAAAATAAAAAATAGGTGAGGGTGCTTAAAATGTAAATCAGAATAAAAATTTTTTTTTTTATTCTGGTAAGCAAACTAGTGTTTTCATTTCTGGATTTAATGAGTGTACAAACTGTTTGAATGTTTGCTAATGTTGAGCACTTGCTAGTAAACAGTTAGTCATTTTCAAAAATTTTAGTTATGATACTAAATGAAAGTGCTATTGTAGAAATTTGTAGACAGAGTGCTCTTTATTATAAAATAAGATTTTAAAATAATTATTAGATTAACTGAAAGCTCTCAGAATCAACAGGCATGCAGACAACTTCTACACTCATCCAGTCCAGACTTAGGGTGATCCCTTCTTCCTCCAGGTGAAGTCAATATACCAGATTTTTCAGAGCTGACTTTTGGGTATGGCCTTCCAACAGTCCTTAATTCTGACTGTACAGGTTGATCTTTAACAAATACTGCCACCACATCTGTTCTGGTGATCCTGTTTTAGTCCTAGAGATGCTTGACAAAATCCAAAGAAGAATCTGCATTGTTATCAGTCCTGACCTGGCATCTCAGCTTCAGTCAATTTTTATTAAGAAAACGGCGACTTACCTCGTCAAACTAAGCCATAGCACGCTGTGTGTATTCTATGACGGAAAATGTGGCGAAAAAGAAAATTACTTACCAAACAAAAGGGCACATATTCCACATGACATGGAATATTTGAATTAAAAAACAAGTCCATCGCAGGAGTCACTATAAAAGTATTTTGATATGCAAATTACTGAACATCCTCTCCCAGCTGTCAACAAATGGGAAAAAATGTTCAGCCAATAAAAACAGTTGATGTTCACAAATCGGAGAGAAAAAATTCGGGTATTTTGGCTACCACGTTTGTTTGTATTTTTCTGACTGGTTACACGCATTGTGATTTGTGAGATAGTACCTTTGAATCGAGTTTTCGGCATTTCTTTCTGCCGCCGATGTTTAAGTCTGTACTACTTACAGTGATTTTTCTTTGTGTTGTGGAAGTAATCTGCGACAAATACTTACTTTGCTTTCAGAATGCTTACAATTTCCCACCACCGTAACATAGCTTCCCTGTGCCTTTCTTATAAATATTTCCACTGTAATTGTTCTGATTAGATTTCCTCTTTGGTACCCTTTACTCCATGATTTCAGGCACAATATTGGCAAATATTGGCAGCTCGCTTTCCTAATTTCACTTTTGAAATTGATAATTGTAACCATAAATTCTATACTAATAGTTTGTTCTCTTGCAGTTCTTAAATATGGAACTCTCTACAGGGGTTCTCATTTTCCTGTCAACTATGATCATCTTTTGTCTCATTGAATCAGGTTCTTTTATTGACTTATTCTTTCCTTCTCAGTAACCTCTTGCATTATAGTAGCTTTATTGCCTTGCTTAATGGGAATTAAAAAAAAAATGATGAGAATCCGAACCTGTATTCCTAATTTAAAAGCTTGTGCACAAAATCCTCGAATGACCAAATATTTTCCCATCCCTCCAAAAATGCATGTATTTCTCATCACACAACCCTAATTTCGAAGATTAAGAAATTTATTCATGGGCTTATCTAGCAGCTCCAGCTAGATAGTTAAAGGCGTATGGTTTTTGTCAAGGTAATCTTTTTTGTCTGAAGGTTTTTGTGACAATTTCAGTGTCCAAAGGCTATGTAAACAGAAAGGTCTACTCCTGCAGGACTACTGGGAGAGAGTTGCCCCAATCAAACTGGTCTTGTCCCCTGTATTGAAGTACCTCCTGCCAGAAAAAAAAAGCTGAGTTAAAAAGGGAGAAATGGACTTATAGGAGGGATATGAAAGAAGTCACAACTATTATTCAACTGACCATTCATAGACGAAGGTCTAAAAGGAAAGAAATGTTCATGAAAAGACTAACACTCGCCCCAGCTGAGGTCTTGTTAAATTAAAAACAATTGGACTTGTCACAAAAATGGATATGGAACACTTACCTTCAACCAATGGTCATCAGTAAATGAAGTAAACTTCAAACTTCAGACAGAGAGAAAGTTTTGGAATGAAAATAAATTACTTTTTAGACAAAGATGAGAAGACAAAGAAAATTATTACCTGACCATCCCGCAAAAAGGCACACAGAGAGACAAAGTAGGTTTTGGAGAACGGACTGGGAAGACACCCATTAGACTGTGCAACTCCCCATCACCATCTCTCCCTCCTTTCAACTAGTCAATAATAAATAGTTGTGTTAGCAGAATGATTTTGTAACCTGACTTGGTTTTCAGCAGAAAGGTTTACCACAATTCCTGTTGGA